GGCTTGCTCTCGGGCCCTCTGTCCCCAGCACCGTCGGGGCTGTGGGTGGAAGGGCAGGTGTGTTTCTTTCCTCTCAATTCAAAAAGGTGGCAGGTTCCACATCTGGGGTGGAAATGACTTTGTTCTGTCAGGAGCTCTGTGATTGCCGCGGCTTGGGGGACTGGGCGGGAATCTAGAAAACTTAAATAAGGGACCAGGAAAAAGAATAACCATAAGAAAGAAAATATCAAAATCGACAAACAACTATGAACCAGAGACACTCTATGGCGGGTGGGGGGCGGGGAAAGGAGGGCTTGGGGTCAAAATAAGGGGGTTGTAATTGTATGGGGAATATGAAAAATAAAATTTAAATTAAAAAAAGAAAAGAAAGGTGCGTGTGGGGACATTGACATCAGCTAAGGAATGACTCAGGGAGAGGAGGAGTCGGCCCCAGCGCCTGTGGCATGGAGAGTGCCCTACGCAGGCGGGTGAGGAGGCGAGGCCGGTGCCAGCTCTGTTGGCGCCACAGCAGGGGCCAGGCCTCCCCGAGAACAGAGGAAATATTTGCTAAAGAAGCAAAACGTCCTGATTGGGCCACTTTGAGAAATGCAGAGACTGTCCTGCAGAAGCTGGGCGGGAATGAGCCCAGACTGAGAACCCCGTCAGGAACTAGGAGGACAGGTGCTGCTTGAGCAGTGGAGGTGGCAGGTGGGGAAGGAAACCCCCTCCTGCTGGCGTCCCTGTGGAGGCTTCTTGAGGGGACAGCGTTGGATGTGAGCTTCTCTGTCCCGGGCAGGGCTTGACTAGACCGAGTCATGACAGGTGTGGCAGGTGTGCGGGAAGCAGCAGCTAGACCAGCTGGCAGGGAGGCGGGACCTCCTTGGGGCGTGCTGTGGAGGTGGTGCTGGCACTGCTGCCGGCGTCACCTCTGCTATATACGGTGAGCACGTGTTCCTGGCAGAAGTGTTGCTTGTGACTCCTGGAGGCTCTGTTCCGCTCTCTCACTGTAAACAGGGAGTGGCACGAGCAGTCACCTGTTGTAACTTCTTCCTCAGCATCCTCAGAGGAGTCTTCCCTCCGCTCTCTTTAGATAACTCCCTGGAAGGGGCACTGGCTGCTTCTTAACCCGCTGCTCCTGTGCTTCTGTTAAAGAGCTGCCTCTCTTCTCTTAGCTGTCTCCCATAGGTCTTCCTGAATTCTGCCTGTAGAAGGATCAGAGCAAGTCCCCCATGCCCTCAAGTGTGTGGGCTGCTCAGCTCTGCCATGGCCTGGGGCTCCTCCCCTACACCAGGCTGTGCACCTCAGTGCTCTGAGGGCCCCTCCCCTGCGCCAGGCTCCACACCCCAGTGCCCTGATCCCTCCTGTCAGTGGAAGCATCTTCAGACCCCATCACAGCCTGGACGCTGCTGCCTGCAGCACCTTGCTGTCAGTGACGCTTCTAGAACGTTCTTCAGAGTTGAACAGGGTCTTCCAAATGTCCAGGAAACAAGGAGCAGGCTTTAGCACATTCATGCCGCAGACAGTGGCTGCGCCAGCATGGGGCTGTGGGCCTCCCTGTGAGTCTTGCCAGAGTCTGGAGCTCGGTCGAGTCAGCACCACCCCCGTGCAGGAGGGTGTGGGGGTGGGGCCGGGGACCAGAGTGACCATCACAGATGGTAGCTTGGTTGCTGGTACGGCCAGCTCAGCCCGAGAAAGTAGCACTGTCAGCGCATAGCACGGCTGTGGAGAAGGAGCCTTTGTGGTGGACACGTCCTGTTGGAGCAGGTCAGAGTCCAAGCCGTTCTGTTTGCGAAGGTCTCAGAAATGTCCAGGAGCCTGACAGTGGCCAGGTGGTGACTCTGGGTGTCCCCTTAGCTTTCGGTACTTGGCAGCAGTCCCTGAGGGGTGATTTCTCACTCCGGCTACCTCTGCGTTTCACACCTTCCAGATGCTCTGATTTATTTTTGGATCCAACATCAATTTGATTTTTGCATGGTCAGAAACATTAGTAAAAATGTTCAGAGAACACTCACTTACATAAGATCTTTCCTATCTGTCTTCTGTATTGTGGCATTCTAAAGATGGGGGCTTATGCGACTTAATTTGGTGGTGTGATCTACGACTCACATGAGATGTGAACGCCCCTAAGCCAGCTCAGTAAAAGGGACGAAGAGAGGACAGTTCTCTCCACAGCAGGTAGCCATTTGGTAATCATCTCCTGAGCCGGCCTCTTGCAAGAACACATGTCCATCACGTCCATCACCGGGGCTGTTGACATCTGCAGCAGCTGCACAGGCACCTTCTGGGAAGCCGTAATTGCAGGCAAGAATCATGGAGTGGATGCGAAAGTTTGTGGGTGAAATGTCTGATGAGGGACAGTGTTGACATAAACTCAGAGTCTCCCCTACAAGGAAGATGTGCAGAGGGAAGCTGGTAACGACACAGCAGAGACTCCTCACAGCATATCCCATCCCCAGCATGGAGGCTCCTCCTGGTGTCCCGGGTGCAGGCCTGAGGGACGCGGATCTGGGTAGCGCCTGTGCTGTGCCCGCCCGCGTGCCGGCCTGCATGGACCCTGACCTGATGGAGGACAGCCCCAGACACTGGGAAAGCCCCACCAGCACCGAGGCCCTGAGGACAGACGCCCAGGTCGGAGCAGAACCTGGCAGAATCTGCCTAAGGTTGACCGTATGTTCTTTAATAAATCGCATCGCTGCCTGGTTTCTTGGTTGTGAACATTGTGGCTGGTTATGGAAGACGTTAACATTTGGGGGAGCCTGGTGAAGGGTACACAAATGTTCTTCGTACTATTTCTGGAACTTTTGGTAAGCTTGGCAGGATTTCAAAATGAAGTTAACAAAAACAAGAACAAAAAGCAGCCCCATGGAGGTGAGAAGCTATGAAGTCCCTGCTGCTGCTTCCTGAGGTCTCAGGCCGTATTCTTGGCTCCCTGCTCCACTGTGATCAGGAAGGCTGGGGCTTCCACACAGGACTTGGGTCAGCCAGGCCCTGCCTTATGCCGCTCCCTGAACAGGCTCTGCTTTCTGAGTTCACCGACTGGCTGACTCTGCACAGCGCTGTAATTCCATCTTGGGGTTTCCGGTGGCTTTGCTGGCTATTTGAGCTTGGCTGTGGTAACCACTAGAATCCCTCATTGGAAACTTAGCTCTGTAATTAATTTACTGTCGTGTTTCTGTTTTCATTATTATGTTCTGAATTCAGATTAGTCCCACGGATTCTTCTGCATTGTGTCCTAGATTGGATTTCATACTTGTTGGTTGTTTCTTAGGAAGAGCTGATTTAGTACAAAAGCATTTTATTTAAACTCGAAATACCATGCTCCATATCATGCAGAAAAGACACCCTGGAGTTTTTATAAATATAATGAATGCGCATAGGCTCCAGGGGTCACCTTCTATCGGGTAATAATTAGATTGGAGGAAATGAATACGTTGGGGAAGATTCTGTGAGCCGTGGCGGTTGTTAATGTGTGACTCAGAGATTCTTAAGTCTGGAAGAAACTTGACGAGGCCATTTTCAGATGGAAAGAACATAGACTCAGAAGTTGGGTGACCTGTTTTTACATGCGAGAGCCATCACTTCGTTACCGTGGCTTGGGCAGGTCACCGAGCTGTGGGGCCTTCAGTTTCTCACCTGTCAAACTGGAATAATAGTAGCATCTTGAAAGTGAAGGGGAGAATGAAGAAGTGGTTTGCAGCACAGCTGGCCGGACGTGGGCCTCTCCATGTGCTGGCTCTGCGCTGGCCCCAGCTAGGTAGGTGCGTTGCCCCGCTGCCCGCAGTGGGCGAGAGTCCGCTTGGCTTCTCGAGCCTGTGCAAGGATGCTGGCGTGTGGCGGCAGACTCTGCCACAGTGCCTAAATCGTCTTGTCAGAATTCTGTTCTCTTATTCCAGAGAAATCATTTTCTCTGCCAACCACACTGGTTGTTGCCCCACAGTCTGCTACGTAAGTGGCCTCGTTTACCGGACCCCCCATGGCGTGGCCGTGTTCTCTGAAGTCATCTGATGCAAAGATGAATTAGATTAAGAAAGTCTTAGGACACGAAGGCGCAGGAAGACATTAGACCCCAGGGAGCAAGCACTGAGCTGGCGTGTGGTTCTCCGAGAAGGACCAGTTACTCCCAGAGCTCCGCTATTGTCCCTGTTTAGCTTGTGTCAAGAGTACTTTCCTTTCCTAACTTTTCTGATTTTGATGTTGCCCTGTGGTTGTGTACGTGAGTGACTTTGCCTTTAGGAAAGATGTGCTGAGGTTAGACGGAAGGGGTGTGTCCAGCTCACTCTCACGTGGTCCAGAAGAAAACACGTGTTTCTGGGTGTGTGTTTACCTGTCCATTAGGGGAGAACGAGGGCCTGCTGGCAGTGTTAGCAGCTGGCCAGTGTCTGAGGAGAGTTCTTGTGCTTTTGTTAAGTATAAACTCTCCAGGTTTTACTAGAATGAGTTCCATTCCTGTGCCCTGAGGATTGGGAAGCAAGGGGCTACTGGGGAGCAGGGAGGGAGGGAGGGCGAAAGGGCGGAAGTTCTGGGTGAACAGGGAGCGGTGAGTCCTTCAGTAAGTCCTCAGTCACTGCCAACAACTGGTTGTACCCTTAATGTAACCTTTATTCCCAGCGGGGACAGAATGAGCTTTGTACAGAAGGGCCTGTGTAGATAAGGGCTATGCAGTAAGTTGCTGCTGTATCCAGGCAGAGAAAATTCCTTGGAAGTGAACTCGTGATACTTACACAAGGACAAGCAACATGCACAGGCTGGAACATCAGACCTCACCAGTTAGCCAGGGTGCAGGTGCTCGGCCTTCCTACCTGAGACATCCAGGTTAGTTCCCTATAACAGGCACCCACCTACCGCTTAATAGGTTTTAGCTGATCCTTTATTTTAAATTGCTGACTTCAGAGTTGATATTTTGTGTTACTGAAAATGTACATATGTTGATCATTTTGCCCTTCAAAAAGAGTCTTCCAAACTAAAACATTTAAATCCTCTTTTCTTTCATGTCACCGATGATACCTCCTTCGGGAACTCAGGAGCCAGCCAAAGGTAAGAGGTTTGGTTTTAGGCAGTGCTTGTGGAAGGTGTTATGTGCATGTTCTGGAAGTACTGGTAATTTCCTTCGCAAAAATATTTTCTGTCTGTCACTTCTGTAACAGAAACATAAGCTGTAGCCTGTTCATGAATCCAAAGCTGGTTTTTGGCTTAGGAGAAGCCCCCGGCCTGTGGAAACGCTGTCCGTGTGCTTGACCACTCTGGCCGATCTCCTGGCGTCGGCACACAGATTCCTTTTGTGTGCTGTTTGCTGTGGATTGGCTCAGAACTGGTCGTTCCAAGCTGTGGTCAGCGCCGTGCCGGGCAGGCCCATCCACGAAGCCGCCTCCGGGATGGCAGGGGACCCTGTGGGGCGGACAGGAGTCCACGCTGGTGGCGTTTCCTCTGGGGACAGGCTGGCCTACTGGAGCGGAGGCAGATTCTCCAGAAACCCCCTGGGCGTGTTGGCCCGTATCTGCACTGCAGGCGCCAGGGGGCACAGGGGCTGTACTTTTGAATTAACCACTTGCTGAAGTTACTTGGAACTTTCCAGGAAACTCAGATTTTTATCTACATTCTTGAAGTCTTGTTTTGTTTCAGAGTCTATGGTTGAATTGTAATTCTATTCTTTATTATTGTTGCTAAAACACATAATAAGTGCGGCTGGGACCCTGAATGATTTTTAAGAATAGTTAAAATGGCTCTGACTGCTTTATATGCAAAAATGTGATTTTACTGGTTTTTTTTTCCTTCATCTTTTTGATGAAGAGGAAGATGCCCCATAACAGAGTGGGGAGACGGGTACCCCGAGAGCCTGCTGCCTGTGGGGTGCCTGCGGGTGCAGTGGCCGCCGAGGGGAGAGCTGAGCTTAGGTGAGAAGACTCGGTCGCTCGCCCTTGTTAAGGACAGAACCAGGAGGGTGTCAGGGAGGAGTTTGACAGCTTGGGCAGGAGAAACCGAATTTGGGCTTCTGCAGGAGGCACAGTAACAACGGTCGAAGGTGGGGAAGTTTAGATGCAAGCTGGGAGGAACCTGAAGACAGTGAATCCTTAAGGATTATAAAGCAATTAGGTGTAAAGCCAGCAGACAGGGAGGTGCTTTCCCTTCCGTGAACAGTGGTAGCGCGGCGATGGCTTCCGTTTAACATCGTGACTGTGTTAAGGTTTTATTCACACATGCCGTGTCTGTGCTTCCCCAGGTGTTTGCGTACGACCACTGCTTCTGGTCCATGGACGAGTCTGTCAGAGACAAGTACGCAGGTGAGAGCCACGCCCGCGTTGCCGCTGTTGGCGGGGACGGGGGTGGGGGGGTCGTTTCCTGGGGTTCCCCCCGTTAAGTGTCATCGTACCTGCGTGACTGTTCTCCCTCCAGCCCTTGCTGTTGGGGTTTTCAGGTTGATTTAGACACTCACTGTGCTTGGTCCTTGGAGTGACACGATAGGGTGAGATTCAGGGTCCAGGGTGGGCTCGTGGCCCAGTGTGGGGTCTGGAGGGGCGGGCGTGGGGGGGAGGGAGGCACTGGCCTGTGGAAGGCAGCGAGGCCGAGCCTGCCTGTGCTGTTGAGGGGATCCCTGTGACATTGGTTGACAGCCTGTGCGTGATTCAGAGCATAGCATCACATTCTCTCGCTCTCATTCTCTGCTCAGTGGAGAGGAAGTTGCCAGGCTGCTTTCCACCCCAAGCTGAGGGCCCGGTGGTCGCCTTTATTGCTTTCATTCCTCACTGCTCATGGCAGCGGGTAGTTTGCAGCCGCTCTATATGCTGTCATGCTGTATTGCACAGAACTCGGGCTAATTTGGCCTCGCTGGCCGGTGATGACTTTAAGGATGCATCCGGCGTGGGAAGAAAGACGATGGTGCCCTAGTCTGGCAGACCCGCTGGAAGGAGGCACGATGGAGGGCTGCGATGGCCTTCAAATCCCAACTGCCCTCGCGGCCCATGGTTCTTTCATATTGCAGCCAAGTCTCAGAGTCGGCCGAGTGACTTCTCAAGGTCACCGCTGATTATTGATGTATTTGATTTAACCTGTGGAGGAGAATTTGATTCTATTAGTTGTGTCTGTGATTGGAAGAAAGCTGGAAGATATTTACAAGGTCTTTCTTCCCTGTCCTTGCTGGTACATATTGTAGGACCTGTAGTTAATGGTGTCACTAAGGATCAGGAGAGGCGATTGGTACATGGGATTGTTTTGAATGTTAGTACCCAAAGAAGACAGCAGTAACCGAGCCGCACACAATGAAAACCAGGTTCACTTAGATCTCTTTTTTTAAAAAAAGATTTTGTTTTTATTTTTGTATAGAAGAACTGGGGTATAGGCCAGGTACGCAGGGGATTCACCAGAGGATTCACCAGAGGATTCACCAGAGACAGACTGGGGAGCAGAACAGGCAGATCCACTGAAATACACTGCTGAGGGGAGCAGGTGAGACAGGAGAGGTCTGCTGTGCCATGTGGGTCAGCTCCTTGGCTGGGGATTGAACGCAGGCAGTCATGGTGACAGTGCTGAGACTCAACCCATAGCCCACCAGGGAGGCCCCACTTAGATCTCAGTGTGCATTTGGGTGTTTATGGCCGCTGTTTATAAACCAGTTTGGTAGCTCTCTGCACTGCAGAGGCCCCTTGCCAGTATTTATCAATCCCAGCACGCGTTGCTGGGCGCTCTGGGCTCCTTTTTATCCTGCGCTTACGACAAATACCTGAAGGACAGGAGCACTGGCATCACTCACAGAGATTAAAAGCCTTGTTTGGAGATAAGTAAGCTGAGAAAAAGTATGATTTTGAGCATCCTTTTTAAAAATTTGTTCACATGCAGTTTGACTTAAAATATCCTTTTTTCCTCTCTCTCTCTCTCAGGTCAAGATGATGTTTTCAAGTGCCTTGGGGAGAGTATCCTCCAGAATGCTTTTGACGGCTACAATGCGTGTATCTTTGCCTATGGGCAGACTGGTACGTGATCTATGGTGTTTTCCTTTATTTTCTTTCATGCTAAGGATCATAACAGAGAAAATACCAGCAACAGTACCGTTGTCGGCAGCTCATTAGTCATGATTGATGAGGTGCACTGTGTACCTCTGGGGCCAACAGGAAAGAAAATCTCTAAGTGAAAGAGTCACTTTTAGGATCATGTGTCCTGTAGCCTGTCAGGTTGGACACAGTCTTCACGGGAAATGCTTTTGTTGTTTCCAGGGGGTGGGGCGGGTCATGGTGGCGGGGGGCCTGGCTCAGCCCACCAGCCCAACCCTGCTCCAGCACCTAAGCTGGCGGCTGGGTGTCCTCCCGGGTGAAGGGAGACAGCAAGGATTCTCCCTCCGGGGCTGTCACCATGAGCTGGCTCTTGAAAACAGCCAGAGGAGCCGGCATGGAGCACCTCACCTGCGGGGGCAGATTTAGGTGTGATGACATGGCAAGGGACGGAGGCAGCAACGTGGAGGGTTGAAAGGATGTTTACAAAATTGCTGCTACAGAAAAGGGAAAAGGAATTCTATTTAAGTTCGGACTATGAGCAATTTAAATTTCGCTTGCTGATTTCTTGTATTTTCTAAATTTCCCTTAATGAATTTGTATTTCTGGTCCAAAGGAGAAAATAATTGTAGAGTAGCCAGAGACTCTCTTTTGGTCTCCGCACTGGCTGAAGGACGCGGGCTCGCCCTGGGGCCTCCAGGGCGTCTCTGTGATTTTGTTGTTTGTTTTTTTTTTTTTAAAGATTTATTTATTTATTTATACAAGCACTGGGTACAGTCAGAAGCATGGGAGGGTGAGAGAATTTGCCGGAGCCAGAGCAGGGAGCAGAGCAGGCAGACTGACGAAGTACACTGCTGAGGGGAGCAGCGGGCGTGGCAGGAGAGGTCTGCGCGCCATGTGGGACCCTCACGGGTGGCCGGGGATCGAACCAGCACTGCAGAGGCTGTGGGCAGCTTCGTAGCCCAGCGCTCAACCACTGCGCAACCGGGGAGGCCCCGTCTCTGTGTTTTGTATGTGACAAGTGGTTGGAGTTGCCCGTTGTACTCACCACATGGACCTTTCCACTTAGTGTCAGAAAACTATCCAGGCCTCGCTGTGTTTTTGGGGGGCTTTTGGAGGGGTTTGGGTAATTTTTTTTAAAAACATGGAGATGGTTTAAATGGGCTTTGTTTTCTTCTCAAAGGAGGTTTGCTTGTTGACACACCTGTGGGGTAGCTTGTGCACTTGTAAACATCCTTTTAACCCTCCATGTTGCTGCCTCCATCCATCTTCGTGTTTGGGGGGTTACCGTACTGGGGGTATTTCGTTAAGAGCTGGTCACTTGTTCTGAGCCGTGGAAAAAGGGTCCCACAAGTAACTTCTCCAGGGAAATGCTCACTGGTCTCCACTTTCAGGCTCGGGAAAGTCGTACACCATGATGGGCACGGCTGACCAGCCCGGGCTGATCCCCAGGCTCTGCAGCGGCCTCTTCGAGCGAACTCAGAAAGAGGAAAACGAAGAGCAGAGTTTTAAAGTAGAAGTGTCCTATATGGAAATTTATAATGAAAAAGTTCGAGACCTCCTGGATCCCAAAGGGTAAGTGGGCTACAGACGTCAGTATTAGTGTTGTGACGAAAACAGAATTAATGTTGGCTCTGGGGAAGGATTTATATGGAGCTCTAGGAGAGGACCTTCTAGTTCTCATCTCTGTCTAGCTATCAAGTAGCTTCCTGGCTTTCGCCTTTAGGACTGGGGGGTGGGGGCTGGAGAGCTCACGGTGAGAAAGGCCTGCCTGACCCATGCTGAGAGGCTGTTATATTGTGAGGTGCCCTCTCCCATGGAGGTGAGATCTCAGCGGGAGGGCTCACTGCCCAGAGGGGAAGGACAGGGCAGGAGATCTGGTGAATTCCGTGCTGACCAGGAGAGTCTGCTGGTGCAGGGGTCAGAGAACCCCCGTGTGGGGAGGGACCCAGCGTCCAGTACGGCGGGGGGCAGTGGGCTGGGAAGTCATGAGCGGGTGCCTTGCCCGGCTCCTGCCCCTGTGTTTGCACCTCTGCTCTGAGAAGACCCCCGCGCTCTCTGATACCCAGCCAGACCTCCTGACTGAGGTCACCCGTGGGTTTTGAGCCCCGAGCTGGCGCAGAGCAGCTGGGCTTGGCCACAGGGCCGTTTGTGGTCTCCGGATCCCGTGTGTCGTGTGGGCCAGCTGGGGACGGCTTGCACTTTGGGCCGCCTGCCTCTGCACGCAGGTCCTCCACCTGCTGTTGAACACGTTCCTCACGCTTTCTAGGCCTCAGCTGAATGGAGGCAGCGATGATAGGGAAAACAGCTCAGGGTTGTTGGGAAGATCACCAGGGCGGGGTGACAGCTGCAGGCAGGTGGCAGGCACCCCAGGAAAGTTCCCTTAGGCACTTGCAGTGTCTCCGAAGGGTCAAAGGAGATGGGTTGAGAGTGCTCAAGGTGAACCCCTCGCAGTGAAAGACAACTTGAGAGAACTTAGTTTTTGTTTTTTTTTTCTTTTTCAAGAACTTAGTTTTTTTATTCAAGTGCTGATGTTGTTAATTCAGCGCCTACCAGGCAGTGGGGTGTAATTGTATTGCTCTAATCGCTGGATGACCCACTGTACATTCTCTGTGAGAAAAGGGAGAGACTAGGGGAGGGTCCAGTGGACTGTGCCCTGCGTGGCACTCAGGTGTCTGTTCTCGTTCTCTGTCTGCTTCATGTGCAGTATAAGGTTATCAGTGAAGTTTTCAGTGGTTGACCCTGGGAGCTGTGATTCCACATTAGAAAACGGTGTTGCTTAAAACAAGAATCACTTGTTATTTCATGTCAACAAGTGCTCTTTCTTTATTGTAGTGTCTGTATTTTATTTTTATTTTTATTTATACAAGAACCCGGGTACAGGCCAGATGTGTGGGAGGGTGAGAGGATTCACCAGAGACAGAGCAGGGAGCAGAACAGGCAGATTGATGAATTACACTGCTGAGGGGAGCAGAGGGGAGACAGGAGAGGTCTGCGTGCCATGTGGGTTGCTCCGGGGCCAGCGGGGATCGAACCTGCGCTGCAGAGGCTGCGGACAGCTTCACAGCGCTGCGCTCAACCGCCTGCACCACCAGGGAGGCCCCAGTGTCTTTATTTCTTAAAGAGCCTTTTTTTTTTTTTTTTTTTTTGAGATAGAACTCACCATATAGTCATCACCAAGTTTTCTCACTATTTTGGGGGTGAGTCTCCCATGTGCTGTGTGCTCTGGGTTTTGGGATGAGTCTCCCATGTGCTCTAGGATCTAGCAGAAGCTCTTTGCTGGGTTTATCGGTTCCTGGTCTCTCAGAGATTTATTTTTTTAAACGTGAACGAGCAGTTGATTTTCCTGAGTCCAGGTTTTCCGACACTGACCGAGATGACCGTGTGTGTTCCCGCCTTAGCCCATCGTGTGCTCAGGAACGTGAGTCTTTGTCTAGGGAGAAAGCCGCCAGGCAGCCGGGATAAGCACAGTTGTTTCTCAGTCATCATCAGGCTCAGGGCTCCCTTTTCTTTGTGTGTGTGTACGGCTGAGGTCCGCCTGCCGTTTCTCTTTCTCAGCGCTTAACTTTCACTGAGTTCTGCTCTTTGCGCCACATTCTGTGGTCTGACAAGGAGATTGTTTGTGTCCGGGTGACTCTGCATTCTCTGCGGAGGTGAACAGTCACCCACAACCTACCCTTTCCAGCCTCGCCAGTCAAGAGTCTGGAGCTCAGTTTCAGTTCTTCTGGGATCAAGTCAGCTGTCGATTGATTCGGGGTCTCTATTGAAGCTGGGATATGTTTTCAGGGGGCACAGTGGAGTCCTGTGAAAGACACTTTGTCATTTAAAAGTTATTTTTTTTTGTTTTAAACAAGCAGAAGCCGCCAAACGCTGAAAGTCAGAGAGCACAGCGTGCTGGGACCCTACGTGGACGGCCTTTCCAAGCTGGCAGTCAGGAGCTACAAGGTAACAGCGGCTTGGCGTGAGCTGCCACTTAGCGTGCAGAGTGCTTAGGCATAATTGGCAATGATGATTTTTTTGAAATTAAAAAAAAAAAACAGTAACATCCCTTAATAAATAACTTCTTATAAAAATCTTTTCCTTTCAAGCTCCCTATGACTGTGAGACACTTTGATTTCGAGGGGAGTGCATACCGGCAGGCACCTCTTCATCTGGGAGGAGACACAGTTCTCATACGTTATCATCTCTGAGATTGTAAACTGCCTAGAATTGCCTCTTAAATTATAAATGACAGCTTTCTCTTTCCTTCCAGTGGTACATAAGATCACAAAGTTGCTGATGATTATGTTGATTTGATGAAATAAAATATGAGTTCAGTGGTTGGAATTCGAAGCCTGTTGCTAATTTGAGAAAAGCTCACTGACCTTTAGATTTTAGTTGTCTTCATTTTCAAGCGTCACAGTTCTGCTTTGTTTGAGTCCATCAGGCTTGTGTGTTGGGAAAACGGGGCTGGTGGGGTGAGATGCTGGTGTATTGTACACAGAATTACAAGTCAGATTGTTGATAGAGTCACAGTACAGTTCCTGTATGGCTCTGGATCATTTGCCTCACCAAACCTCTCTGTCCTAAGTTGATAAAAGGCTGTCTGAAGAGGTATGTTCGTTTGTTCATTAATCAGTTCTGTCATTTGGTCAGTGTTCATTTATCAAGTACCTCTCATTCACCTACCATGTGCACATACTGTGCAGTTGCACATGAAGGTCCATCCCCTCAAGATGCTTCAGGGCTCAGAGATTTGAGAAGGATACCTATCTTAAGTGGATGTGGAGGTGTCTGGGGAGGCTGGTGTCCAGGAAGGCTTCCTGGAGGAGGTGAGGTAATGTGTGTGAAAAGTTTTTGAAGATTTTAGAAGACGTCCATAAATGTTCAGTGTTGTTATTTTAACAATGATCACTTGAGGACTTATTCTTGCATCTTGGGAGAGAGCATATTTTATCAAGAGCTCAGAGGACATTGGAAAGTATAAAAAGATATATTGCTTATTTAAAAATGAAAAGTCTCAATATAGAGATTATTCATGAGATTAGAAACCAATGAGTAAATGTCGGGTCCTAGGATAAAATTCTTAGTGTCAACCTCTGGATTGTCACTCAATGGGTCTAAAATGGATTTGGAATGGATCTAGAAAATCTTCCATTTTACCGTTAGTTGTTGTTTTTCCATTCTGGTGCTAGTTATACCTCTCTTTTTTTGCAGTTAACATTTTTACCTTGAGGCTTTTTATTTATGGTGTGGAATTTTTCCATCAGCATTATTCTTTTTCATGTACATATAGCAAAATAGAAGCTTAGGATTTTCAGAGTTTTTCCTAGATGTGTATCGGGATTATGTTTGACTGCTTGTAACTGAGAGGATATTGCAGAATTTAACTTCTTTGGAATATGAATTATTATCTGTTTTGTCCATTATATATTCTCAATATCTTAAAATGTACATGGCATATATAGGTGCTTTCAGTATCTATTTGAGGGGCCAATGAATATGTGGAAGCGTAAATAGTGATTTAAATAAGGCTGCTATTGTGAAAGACAGAAGGGAGATGCTGGAGACTGGGGTGGCGGGGGTGGGGGGGCGGCTCCAGAAATGCTGCTGGGATGGAGGAGCCTTGTGGTACTCCCCGTGGAGCCAGCGTGGAGACGCCCTATTCTCGTGGTCCAGGATGGGTCTCAGCAGGCCTTAAAGGGATTCCCAGATGGACCTGTGCTGTCCTTCAACTCTCATCCAGCATAATGTGGTCATGTGGCCAGGTTGAGCTGCAAGGGCCTCTGGGACATGTATCCCTTAGCGTGGCCACACATGTTCTGGAAAGATGGGCCCCTTCACTGGCAAGATGAGGGGAGCAACAGTGGACGCTTTTACACGCTGTCTGTTTTGCTCCTCATTACTATCCTGTACGAGACGTCCTAGCTCCTTGCTGTCATCTATGAAATGAAATTCTTTCAGAAAAGTATATACAGGTTTAAAATTTGAGTCACTTTGTTGAGGTAACGGCTTACAATACGATCTGCATTAGGGGTGCGGGTTCCCACTACCAAGGTTCCTGTAGCCACAGCACACCCAGCCAGAGCCCCACACCAGCCTCTGGCGGCCCCGGCTCTGAATCAGAACCCAAGGCTGGTTCTGACTAAGTCTTGTCTGTGTTTTTGCTTTGTTTCCTTGTATCCCATGTGTGAGTGACATCCCCCCTGTTTGTCTCCTGCAGACTTATTTCTCTTAGCGTTGCCCCCTCCAGTTAGACGTTATCACAAATGGCAACTTTTTTTTGCCTTTTTTATTGAAACTAAAATTCTTGTGGCTCAGGAACTGTTTCAAAGTTTACAGCATTTAACAACATGGAGATCCCTAGACCGCTCTGCTGCGCCCTGCTGTCCTGTTCTGCGGTGCTGGCCGTGAGGCCTGTGGGCCTGGCTGGGGTCTGGCTCCCAAGTTCTCACCCCTAAGGACAAGCCCGCAGGACCCTCCCAGCTGGTGCCAGCGCTGTGTCTACGGGAAGCTTACAAATGCTCTGTCTGTGTAATCTAACTTGACCCGACTGTTGCTATTTTTTTTTTTTTTTTTTTTTTTCAAATTTCTAGGTTGGGTGAGGGTTGGCCACGGCCTCTGTGTCTATTCTAGGGGGCTCCGTGGGCTTCCACACTGCCCTGACCCTTGGTCACAGGGCCCCCTCTATTCTGCACTTGCAGAAAGTAATTCGATTTGTTTCCGGCGGCCGTGTTTGCCGTTGTGCTTGGGGCCTTGCTGTGGCAGAGACGCTGCGTGAACTCCAAATGTGGGCCAGTCGTGAACCTCGCCTGGTCATGCATGTCTCTGTCGTTTCCCCGCAGGACATTGAGTCTCTGATGTCCGAGGGCAACAAGTCTCGCACCGTGGCTGCCACCAACATGAATGAGGAGAGCAGCCGGTCCCACGCTGTCTTCAAGATCACCCTCACGCACACTCTGTGCGACGTGCAGTCAGGGGTAGGTGTTCTTTTCCTTTTCCTTCAAATGTCTGACATGGGTCGTGGTTTTTCTTACTCCCTTAAGATGTCTGATGACTTGAAGGGTGCCCCCCAGGACTCGACGAGAAATTGAGGCTGCTCTGGGGAGATGGGTGATCCCATGGTTGTCGGAACACCTGAGGAGCAGTGGGCTCCTAACTGAAGCCCTGGGAGTAACTCCCGGGGTGTCTCATCCACCAGGGATGCTGCTACCTCTGCACCCCCATGTAAGGATCCCCCCAGGATTGAGGCCCCCTTTGCTGCACCCCCCCCAGGGCTTCGGCCCCCATGATTCCAGGCCGGGTCCCAGGCAGCAGATCACTGGGGCTGGCGCATGGACCCTGGGACAGTCTGGTAGAAGCCCTCTTCTTCCCAGCCACCTGCCTGCCCTCTGAAAGAGCCAAAAAAGGGGGTTGGGGCCCTTTACTTCTGCCTCCACATCCAAACAAGAGATCTGATTGACAGAAGCTGAGTCACACAGCCGCACCCGCCTGCAGGGGCATCGAGGAGGGTGCTTTCTCGCCCCAGCCTCCCCAGCCAAAGGGAGATCACTCAGGCTGGTGGCCTGGGCCCCTTCCGTGGAGAGATGTTACCTGGGGACACCGTAGTGTGAAATGGCTACGTCTATGGGAAAATATTTTGAATATTTGGTTTTGAAGCTTAGGGCGCGCCAGCCGCACTGGAGGTGGGTGAGCCCTGGAGCACTGCAGAGGCGGGAAGCATGTGCCCCCCCTGCCGTTTGTGGCTTTGGGCAGGTTTCCTTATGCCCACCTCCCGGCCACGCGGTTTCAAACAGCAGCAACTAGAATCATCATGCTGGCAAAATGGTCTGCTCTGGCAAGGTTTTCACTTGCTGAAAGCATATTTTTCTTTTACCATCACAAGTTTAGTGGAACAACAGAAAGTCCTTTGTTTCCTATTTCCTTTTCAGCATAAAACAAAAAACATACCGAAGAGATTTTTTTTTCCACCCAGAGGACTTTGGATTTGAGAAGCTGAATATCCTTTTGTTAGCAACAGTTATTTATGGAAATAAAGCAAAATGTATATTTTAACAGAAAATTTTAAGAAATGACCGGCTGCAGATGGTGTTGTCTGCCCTCGTTTCCTGCGTTGGTGCTGAGTGTAAAGTGTCTGTAAGGTGCAATTGATAATGGGACGTTTCTCAAAAAGGCCCGTTAGTGTGTATGCAGGTGCGTGGAGATATTCAGGCACCATCTGGAGTAGAACAGTGTGTTAATTTAATACCTGAAATTACGAAACAAGGGGCCATTGTGCATGGAGAGTGAGAGAAGTTATAGCAAGCCTCACGTTTCTGTGGGGTCCTTTTGTTGTATAAAAGCCAGATTCACTTTTTTGTATCAGTAAAAATTATAAATGTTTTCCTCCAGGATTATTGGTAAAAAGTCATGAAATTTTAAGCATCGCTTCAAAGCACTTTGAAGTTTCTGTCTTAGAGGTGCTTGTGAGCACTGCCCCATGATAGTGCTCCTTCTGGGGGTCACGTGTTTTCCCGAGATAACCTTACTCTGTATAATTTTGTCTACTACGAGTTACACAGTTTTTTTTTATACTTTGCTGCACAAGGTAATTTTGAGATAGCAATAAATTGTTACGTTAATAACTCTTCAGTAGAGGGTTTTGGTAATAAGCTCATTTGGTAGCGATGGCATCATTTCTGTTTGCTTCAATGGTTTGTTCTGATCCACTGATTCCCTTTCTAGACCTCTGGAGAGAAGGTGGGCAAACTCAGCCTGGTCGACTTAGCCGGCAGCGAGCGGGCCACGAAAACCGGAGCCGCTGGAGACAGACTGAAGGAGGGAAGCAACATCAACAAGTCAGTACCCCGGAGCCTGCTTACTGCTTGCCAGTGCCTTCCATGGTCACTGAGATTCTGAACAGTTAAAGTGATAATGCATGAACAGCTAGAATCTCTACAGAAAGCTGTGCCAGGTTTGGGCACCATGTCTGAGGCTCCCCAGGAGCACAGCAGCCTCGGTCAAGTCACAGGCTTCTCAGGAACGGCCCCGGGGCAAGGGGCTGAGACATGCTTTGTGAGGGCTTCATCCTGGTCACCCTGCTCCGCCCACCAGATGGCGGTAGTGCCTGCCCCCTCTCGCCCCCACCCCAGTTGTGCCAACCCCGGGCATCTCCGGTCACTGCTGGCCGCTCCCTGTGACACTGTCACCTGCCAGGAATGCACGGTCCCAGGGAGGGAGGAAGAGGGTGGGTCTCAGAGTCCAGCAGTTGACCTTGACCAGCGTGTCACCATCTCATCAAACCACCAGGGATCCCCTTTTCTGAAAAGGGAGAACCCCCTATCGGGGTTCCATGTTCTGCCCGAGGCTAGAACATGTGGGTGGGAATCTTTGCTGTCCCGTGGCTCCCAGGATGCAGCGAGGCAGCAGCTGGTCAGCCACCACCCAGCCACCCACCAAGGTGACGACCGTCCCCATGTGCGCCTGTGGGGCAGGCGGGCACCCCGCAGGCCGGCCTCATGCTGTGCGTCAGCTCCCTGAGCTGTGCCTCCTCCTCTCACTCTTGAACACACGTGAAGTCTGTGCTGTTACCTTCACAGATCACAGCTCACATTTTTGCTTACAAAAGTGGAAAAATGCCGAGCTAAGCATGGGATTTCAATAGCAGCAACTAGAATCATCACGCTGGCAAAATGGTCTACTCTGGCAAGGTTTTCACTTGCTGAAAGCATATTGGTGGTGGTGGCGGTGGAGGGTGTCGGCTTTCAGAGCCAATGGGCCTCCCAGTGAGCGAGAAAGCAGGCCGCGGGGGTCTCAGGGCATCTTGAGTCCCCTCTGTGCTGAGACGTGCCATCCGAGACCTCACCTTCCGTGACCTCTGCGCTCCTTGCACCTGCAGGTCCCTCACCACCCTGGGGCTGGTCATCTCGGCCCTGGCAGATCAGAGTGCCGGCAAAAACAAGAACAAGTTTGTTCCTTATCGGGACTCGGTTCTCACTTGGCTGCTCAAAGTAAGTTGTTCTCCCTCTTCTTGGCGCACCCCCGGGGCTGGTGAAAAGGAAAAATAAAGGGAAAACTGTCACCCCTGCCTCCAGCGTTGGTTAGGTCCTGAGGGTCGGACATGGAGTCCTAGTTTTAATGGCTTAAGCACAGGTCCCTTCCTGAGTCACCCGGTCCTGCAAGCAGTGGGACTTGGGGCACAGTGACCCCCACAGTTGCCTCTGAGATTTGGGGGCTGGAGAAGGGACCTGGTGCCCCCTGACAGCTGAGCAGGTCCAGGAAGAGGACTGTCCACTGTCCTCCACACTCCGATGGACGCTCTGTCTCCATCCCTCACAGGCTTCTTTTGTTAGACTGACATTTTGGACTTTGGTTTTCTGTTTAGCGGCAGAACCACCCACCGCCATTCTCCTTTGCTTTCAGCTTCTTAAAGGTGTAGTTCAGCTTGCAGAGTGGCGCGCGCACTCATTTGTCGGTTAACTCACTGATTGTGAAGGAGAGAAACGGAAACGAGGAAGCAAGTCACAGGAAGGGCTGTGAGGAGAAGGGAAGGAGGTTGGGGGCCTCCCTGCCCCCCAGCCGCTGAGTCCAGTGAGGGAGGGAGACAGACATGCACTGGGCAGACAGTGGCAAGGAGTGGGGCAGGTTTTGGGGGGGCGCTGGCGGGGGGCCGGGGGTGCAGGGGTATAAAATCTGGTGACAGCTGGAGTCCTCACGGAGCTGCCAGCCTGGAACAAAATGCTGCCCTTGTCCCGTTCTTTCTCTCTCTTTATTTTAAATGGGGAAACAATTTTATGGGTCTTGGTTTTAGTCTCAGGGTGGCTTCTTTCCTCAGTGGTCAGGAATGTATTGAATTCCTGTGACTCATGGCTATGGGGGTGCAGAATGTAACAGTGGGCTGAGCACAGGCCCCCAAGAAGCTTAGGAAAGGACACAACTTTCGTCTTCATCCATGTCTGTCGGGGAGGAGGGCCTTCCGCCTGCTTTCGGCCCTCCCCCAGGGTCACCGGTTCCGCTTTACTTGCTGAGCATTGTGTGCCGTCCTGCCCTGCTCTGTGAAGAGAAGGGCGCCGCGGGGGAAAAAGCAGACAGTCTATTTCCTTTGGCCAACATGCAATAAAACTGGAAATTTAAAAACCGAAGGGGAAACAAACAAAATGGATGATTAAAAACCACTTGTCAATAACTCTCGAACTAAAGGAGTGTTACAAAACCTTTCATGACCAAGGAAATCATTGCCACTATTTGGCAATAGTTAACCTTGGAATCCCGTTTGTTTAATTTTCCAGAAATCTTGCTAAGATCCTGTTCCTCCAAGTTCCTTCAGAAACACTGCCTGATCCTTCATGATTATTCCCTGGATGCACCCGATTTAAAAAACAGAATTTTTCGTCCTTTTGTTTCTGCTTCAGTCCTTTTAAATCAGCAATAGGAAGCCAATTGACATTACATTGATTGGCATGTGGAAAGGGCCTGAGGACCCTGGGTTGGCCATTGGATGGGCAGGAAGCAGGAGAACTTGTCTAGGAATCTCGGGTACCACGCAGCATGCTTGACCGCCTGATCGCACTTGCTCCTTCAGACAGAGGGAGTTGGTTCCATTTTACAGATGTGGCCACCGAAACAGAACTAGTCACTGTCCGAAGCCGAACTGGGCTCCAGGGCTCCCTCTGCTGCGTTCTTTTGCTTGTGCTGGGCTCTTTTCCTAGGTTCCTTTTCATTAGACATAGAAGCTCCAGACTTCTACTAAGCTTTGGTAGAGAGTGTTGCAAAGACTTGAACTTAAAGCGCAAAATTAAGCACTTTTCTTAAAAGCTTGCTTTTTCTTCTGTTTAGAAAAATTAGATTACATTTGCAATTTCTATGTGTAAATTCTTGGGTTACAAGAATGAAAAGTTCGCTTGATTTTTGTCATTGTTTTATCTTGAAAACTCTATGACTTTCTTTACTGTGTTTGACTTTTGCAGCAACATTATAAGTAGGAACGTTTTTTTAAAGATTTGTTTATTTATGCATATAAGAGCTGGGGTACAGGCCAGAGGTGCTGGGGGGTGAGAGGAGTCAGCAGAGACAGAGCGGGGAACAGAACAGGCAGATTGACTGAAGCACACTGCTGAGGGGAGCAGCGGGTGAGTCAGGGGAGGTCTGCTGCGCCATGTGGGTTGCTCCCTGGCTGGCCGGGAATTGAACTCGTGCTGCAGTGGCTGCGGACAGCTTCATAGGTTGCGTCTTAACCCTTGCGCCACCAGGGAGGCCCCTAAGTAGGAGCATTTTTGCAAAGCATGCTATTGGGGGTTGTAATTAGTTTTCCCCAAGGCCTCTGGGAATCCACTGGGATGGAGTATTCTTCTTTGAGGTGACTTTTAGGTCCTGGTGGCTTTTTCCTTCTTTAATTCTTAGTCTAGCTCTCCCTAAGCCTCCTTGGATGTGGTATGGTTCTAGTATCTTCCAACATAACTTGCAGTGAACTCATAAAATTGCTCATCCTTTACAAGATTTGCAATTTCTTTTTACAGTTTAATATTGCACTGTATTTGCATTATAACTATGTTGTTGTGCTTTTGATGTTTACCACACGTGGGGGGATTTGGTGGGGGGCAGATGTGAGGGCCGCTCCCTGGGAGGGTTGCGCATGCTCATTTGGGAAGCGGTCAGTAGGGGCAGTCACCTCCTGTGCTGCCCTGTCAGTGGGTGTCTGCACGTCAGGTCCTTCTGGCGGTGAGTGTCCCGCGATGAGTCTCTTTGGAATCTTCCCACTTTCCCCGTCCTTCCTGCCCCACCTCTTGTCCAGAGGACTGAAACATCTCCTAGCACCTGCTTAGTCTGTTCCACTCCTTCCAGTTAGGTTGGTGACACCTGTTAAAATTAATATACCCTGCTACACTTTCAGTGCCGCATCGCACAAGGTCTCTCGGGGCTTGTAGCTAACGAGGTTCTCAGTACCCCGACAACACTGTCCTTCTCACCGTCCATCGTTTTGCCCCTTGCTAGTAACCAGGCTATCCTGGTGGTGAGCGAGCTATCGCCTTGTGAACGTGCCCCCTCCTCTGTTTGCACCCACCTCCCTCCCCTGTGCCTGGCCGAGGCTTCTCGTCCTCAGGACGGACACTTTCACCGGTAGTCTTCCTTAAGCGAACCTTTCAAGACTGGGCTGTCTGTGTTTCCCCAGACCCTGTTGTATTTATCCTAGTTCTTCTGACCACGGAGTGTTGCCCACTCGTGTGGCCCCCTAGATGGTAAACTCCAGAAAAGTTGAATGAAGGAATGGTTTTAGCTCTGCTCCAAATTAGCTTTATGACCCTTGGTAAGTCTATCAATCTTCCTGGGTCTCCATTTCTCCTCTAAAATGAAATAATTTCATTAGATGACTTCAAAGAGGTCTTTCAGCTTGAAAAAATTAGGACTTCCAAAATTAAATTTCTTTCCTATGTTCATTTCATTTGCAGTGGCTGCATTTGAAACAAAGCTCATTTGATTTGCCTAATTAAACAATTAAAGAGTAAACAAGAGGCTTTATACTTTCTCCTGGAACAAATGCCGGTTCTTTTGTCACTGTTTCCTCTTTGCGGATGGCACGAGGCCACTTTTGCATATAAGGACATTGTTGCTCCTGCACAAGGACTTTTAACACATCAAGGATTTGTTTGCCAGGTTTCCTTTTCTCCCATCAGCTGAAGCACAATGCATGTGCTTTTCTGCTGATTATTCTTACAAACCCCTTTTACCGGCAAGCATTTGCCGTTTGTGGGGGTTAGCAGAAAGCAGTAGTTCTGGAAAGGGTAGCCTCTACCTCGTGCTGCCGGGAGCCGACTGGCACCTGAGATCTGCTCCCTGTGACCTTCCTCTGCGGCATCTGGACGTCACGGCCTTGCCCGGGGCTGGCCATCCCATCTGTGGATGCGGCCACCGTGGGGCGCCGTGATGTGAGCTCGTGCCTGGACGTGAGGAGTCGAGCGAGCCATCACCCAGGAATGGTGGCAGTGGCTTCTGCTTCCCGAGGCCCAGATTGCTTGTGTTTCCTTCCGTTCCGTGCAGTAAAGAGTATTTCCTTCAAAGATATAATTATCTTAGCAGTGTATTCTGTGGTAAACCAAATTGCAGTGATGGATGGACATATTGTCTGTGATTATTTTGAACTTTTAGCAGTATTTAGAGAATTATTTTGTTTCCAGCACTGGGACAAAACAATCTGGAAAGTTGCGGGTCACGTCTTTGCTCCTCAGGTCTGAATTCTGTGTTGCCAAGTGAAGTGCGTTCTTCTGAGTACCGGGAGGGCGGGCGGGATCACCTTGCACTCAAGGCAGGAATAGTGTTCACTTACTGCTTTTGGGGTTCCGGGAAGAGTACTTAATATTTAAGTTCCTTTCTCAGATCAACTTCTGTTTTTTCCTCCATTAAATGGGGAAAATTAAGTAATAACGAAGTAAAGCTTTGGTTCAAAGAGTGAATCACATGTTGCTCCAACAAGGTTGAGAGAGATCACCATTGGGAGGACTTAATATATTCAGCAGTAAGAATCATCCATCAGCGGATGTGCCCGGAAGGTAGAGCGGGCTCCCGCGAGCTCACAGAGTCCCCTTCCTGCCTGCCTGCGTGCGCCCTGCCTGGAGGCCTGGGCTGTGAGTCTGTTCCTTCGGGTAGTCTCCTCAGCCTGTGTAGCTGTCGGCTGCCGTGTGTCTGATTACCCCACACTCAGCTGCTGCAAATAACAACATCCAGTATCTCTCCGTCCCTGAGGGTCAGGACTCGGGGTATGGTGGAGCTCAGTGACCGGCTGGTCGCGCGTGTCACCTGTGATTGTTGCTTCGCGCTCCATCGTCCTGAGGCGAGGCTGGGGACGGAGCGGCTCACTTGAGTGGCTGTTGGCTTCACCAGGTGTGCTGCAGACACCCCACAGGAGACTGTTGTCCTCACAGGACACTCCCCAGAGCAGTGGTTTCTCCCAGAGGGGAGTACACCTGGGACCGTCCTTCCGCTGTATTCTGTCTCTCCTTCGGGGCGGGGGGTGGGGCGCTGGGGGGCGGGGTAGAGGTTGATGCAGGAGCACGAGCGCCAGGAGGTTGGACCCCTGGGGTCCTTTGGCACCCTCCCTAGTGGGTGGCAGAGCCGGCCTATGTGTGGGGAAACCCACCCCCCACTGGGCTTGACATCCCGGGTCAGGTCTTATAGTTCTCAGCTGCATGGAGCAGTTTTGTGACCCTGGTGGAAGCCAGCGGCCAGGCCAGCTGGCTGTGTCCTGGGTCTTCCATGGTGCTGAGGGGCTCTGGCAGTGCCCCCGTGTGACCATAGCAGCAGGCTGGGGAGCACTGCGGCTGTTTCCATGGTTTTTGAGGTGCTGCCAGAGCAAACAAGGTGAAGCACCTGCAGGCGTCTTTTCTCTTTAAACTGGGGTTGTGCTTCGTGTCTAAAAACCCACAAGGTGCCTGAGTGTTCCTGCGAGCAGCACTTTGGAGCCTTCTTTGGGCGTGACTGTGGCTCTAAGGACACGGTAGTGGAGGAGGTCAATGACCCCTGGTAGCATGGTGACCGCTCAGCCCCCCTCGGAAGGTCTGTGGGCATCCGCGAGGCCGTCCTCCGTGTTCTGAGCAGCCGGTGGACATGGGGCATCCGTCTGCCAACAGCACATTGACTTGGAGTTAGTAGTTACTAAGCCAAAATAAACGTAGACTTCACACGTCTTTTCTCAACCACCAAAGCTGCCTTTTGTAAAAAAGGAGCTAGACAGGAAGAGGAGAAGCGGCAGAGGCTGGGGTCTGGGTGCCGGGTCTTAGCCCGGCCGGGTCCTGAAGCACCTGGGGGTCACTCGCTCTGTGACCTGAGCGTTCTCTCTTGCTTCCTTGGCCCACTTTAAATGCCACTCGCTCTCCCCCCCAGGACAGTCTCGGGGGCAACAGCAAGACAGCCATGGTGGCGACCGTGAGCCCGGCAGCGGACAACTACGACGAGACCCTCTCAACCCTGCGCTACGCCGACCGCGCCAAAAACATCGTGAACCACGCGGTGGTGAATGAGGACCCCAATGCCCGCATCATCCGGGATCTGCGGGAGGAGGTGGAGAAGCTCCGGGAGCAGCTGACCAAAGCTGAGGTGCGGCTGGCTGAGCGGCGCTGGGTGCCGGGGACCTCCAGGGCCCCGCTGGGGTGCTGCCCCTGGCCTGTGACGAGGACGCCTCTGAGAATGTTTGCATTTCCCGAGGGAAGCGAGATTCGAGCAATAAATAAAAGGAAGGCTGGTGGTGGGAGTTGAAGTGTAGCGACTTCTGACAGGTGTTCAAGGACTGAGTGGGAGAGAGGAGAGTGGGACTCGAGGTGTCACGGTCTGGGCCGCAGACGATGGAGAAGAGGTGAAATAGAAAAGGGGGGACAGAGAGAGGCTGGAGGCACAATGTGTGCAGTTCAGTTTTAGTGCAGAGGATGGTGCAGAGTGAGTGGAGATAATGGGATTTTTATTGTATCCTTTGTTCATGGTTGAAGTCAGAGTGGAAATCGCAACGCGGCCTTGAACACCATCATCTACTTTTTCCATGCCGTGGGCTAATTCTGTTTGTAGAAAACAGCACCTCCTAGCAGAAGGACCCTTCCTTGGTGGCGTTGTTTTCCATGGGATATGCGTGTTCCGTTACTGAGTTTGGACTCCCGCCCCAGTCTAACCTACAGCCCAGCGTTGTCCCTTTGTCAGGAGTAGAATAAAGTTGTGGGTTCAGATCCCTTCTTTGATCAGCATCTGTCCCCAAGGTCCCCAGCCCCAGGGGGTCACCTTTGTGGGGCTGGGACTGACGCCCTCTTCTTTCGTGTAACCTGTTTCCTGGTGGGTTTTTCTGGTAGTAAATTCCTCCAACACATGGTTAAGGCATTTATCTTGATTGTATTTTTGCCTCTTGAGTTTTGCCCGTTTTTACAGGAGTAATTTTAAGTTCACCAGGCTTCTTTGAAATGTTGTTTCTCTTCCTGGTGTAATAGCAGCGCCCAGTTCGCGGTGTGAGCAAGTTTAGTCTGGGCAGATGCGGATGTCACTGTCAAGTCTTGGGCCCATCAGAGCCGAGGGGCGTCCCTTCGCATGCGGTCCCTCTGGATCTAGCTGACTTTCTCAGGGCTGCGTACGGACATCTCACGAAGTGAACATTTCGCTTGCAGGCAATGAAATCTCCGGAGCTCAAAGACCGGCTGGAAGAATCAGAGAAGCTGATCCAGGAGATGACTGTGACCTGGGAGGAGAAGTTACGGAAAACCGAGGAGATCGCTCAGGTCCTTGCTCCCCGCTCTAGCATGGCCACCCCAGAGCACGCCCCAGACTGTGAATTTCTCTGGAGACTGTCCCAAACCTTTTGGCCCTTTAATGGTGCAATACTTGCTTAATTTTTCATACACGGTCTTATCACCTAATGAGTTTAATATTTGCAAGGGAAAAAATGCCTTTTTTTTTTGTTTTTAGGTATATAGAAGGGTTCATATTCTTATGAAAGTAGTGCTTGAATGCCTGTACAAATTGCAATTGGGTAAATTCACAAAGGCACATTTTAGGCACCTGTGCTGAGACAGTGGGCAGAGAGGGCCCGAGCCCTCAGAGACAAATGGTCAAATGAGTAGTTACCACGTTTGAGAACCAGTGTGCTCCAGGAAGAAGGCACAGGTGGGGAACCCCTAAGCCAGGGGATGCATCCCCAACCCTCCAGGGCCTGGAGGCTGTCCCATACCTGCTCCTGCCTGCAGGGCAACTCTGCGAGTAGCAGGGCAGGACAGGGCAGGACAGGGCAGGACGGGAGGGTGGAGAGCAGGATCGAAGGGCGGACTGGGGCCAGGGCTCTGTCGGGAGGGGTCACTGGGGCTGTGCAGCTGGAGAGCATGCTGAACACGTGGCTTTTGAGAAAGGTCACAGTTGAACAAACCATCCCTTTTCACATATGCAGAATCCAGTGAGAAAGATGAGTTCTATTTAAATAGAAATTAGTTATTTTCAAGAATGAAAATTTCAAACTCAAAAGTATAAGTACTTGGTTGCTATTTGTGAGGACTTCGTTTTTCAAAAATAAAAAGAGGTTATAATTAATAAAATAACATTATAGAGTCTAGAAAGAGAAAAGTGCAACAATCTAGAATATATCCTAAGAGACCATATCGGGATCACAGAGTTATTTAATATGACACTAGGCCTTGCCTTTCCCTCACACTTACAGGAGCGACAGAAGCAGCTTGAGAGCCTCGGGATCTCCCTCCAGTCCTCGGGAATCAAAGTCGGGGACGACAAGTGTTTCCTTGTCAACCTGAACGCTGACCCTGCTCTGAATGAGCTGCTGGTTTACTACTTAAAGGTGCCGTCCTACGCTCTGCCGCCACTTTTGCCATGAAAAATAATCGTATTTCTCAGGGGTGCCATGCTTCAATTAGTTAGCAAGTTGTTTTTATTTAAATTAGCTAAAATGTGGAAAAATCTTGGGTTTCTGGGATCAGTTTCCCTCTGCGTGACATTCAGCCTAGCAGTATGAGCAATCCCATTCAGCAGTATCCCCGGCACACCAAGTAGCTTAGCTCCCGCTGCTGAATGTGCTTACAGATGGACTGTGGCGGAGGACCCTGGGTGGCGGGTGGGGCGGGCTGCGGGGACCGCACCAGGGGAGCCACACCGACGAGCACTAGCAGGGCCGTAAAATGGTGGTACGTCAACAAAAAGTTTTTAAAATTAAAAAACTTCCCTAGAAGGAGAAGAAGGGCAGTTCTACCCCTGCTGTCTCCCGGGGTGCGTTTGTTGTGACGGAGCCGTATACACAAAGGCCTGTCCGCTGAGGGGCAACACTGAGGTAGAATAAGATGAGAAACCACCGACGTGACGATCAGGGGAGGGGGCAGCTCGGGAGGAGCCAGCAGCGGCTCAGGAGCAGATCAGGCCCTGGGGCTGGATGATGTGCCCGGGGAGATGGGGGACGTGGGGAGGGGCTGGTGGGTGGGTCCCCCACTTAGAAGTTCAGAGGGAGCCCCGGGGGTGTTAAACGGGGGAGTCACAGGGTCAGCGCTGAGGTGGGAGTGGATGGGGACCGGGCGAAATAGAAGGCTCTTGCATGTACCCCCTAGGCAGGAGACCCTGGCGCTGAGCTGGGGCGCGGCCAGAGAGGGGGAGATGAGCTGAGTCCTGCTAGAAGGACAGGGTCCCCTGATGGATGCGGGTGGGGGTCTGGTAAGGGAAAGAGGACTCGGGGCAGCTCCCAGGGCTGCCGCTCATTAGCTGGGTGTGGTGGTGCAGCATTTTGGGGGACAGACAGACTCATGGGATGAGGGACATGGGCACAAAAGTTCTGCCTTGACCCCTTCACTGGAAATGTCTGTGGACACCCTAGACGTGCGGGATGTCTTGGGCCGGCAGGGCGGTAGAGGTGGGAGCTTCAGCTCCCAGCTGGGACTCGGTGTCTGTGGCGACGGTGTCAGGCCGCAGGACTCAGCGACGCCCCATCAGGGGTCCACCATCAGCCCCCATGGGCCACGTCCCCCTGCCCACCTATGTGCCTGGAAGGGCAGCAGGAACGGCTTGACTTTTTTTAATGGCAGAAAATTTATGAAAAGAGTTACAATATTTTGACACATGAAAATTCTATGAAGCTCACGTTTAGATGTCCCTAGCATGTTCTGTGGGAAAGCAGCCGGGCATGCCCATTTGTGTGTTGTCTGGCTACTGTCACACTGTAAGGGCTGAGCTGACGCCCTGCGCGTGAGTCTCAAACCTAAAAGGTTCCCTGTCTGACCCCCAATCCCGGTATGTGGGAGACAGTGGCCTTGGAGCACCTGGGCCGCAGCCATGTGGGCTCCGTGTAGGAGCAGAGGTGAAGGTTCCTCATGCTGAGACTTTGCTCAGTGACTTGCCAGAAAGTACGGCTGGCAATTGGGCCTCAGTGGACTGGACCATTGGGGGTCTGAGTCAAGACCACAGCTGAGGTGGCCAGGGGATGCTAAACTAACTCTGGTCTTTTCAGATTCCTGACCTCTGAGTGGCCTTCTGTCTTTGTAGTTACTGGTCTTGGGTGAGGCCAGTGCGTTGCTGACGCCTGGCTCGGGCTCAGAGGATAGTGCAAAATCCTTGAAATCAAGTTTACAGTGGAATGAAGGCAAAGGCTGCAGGGGACAGGAGTGGCTATCACGTAGACGCAAGTACACGGCACAGATTTAAGTGGAAACGCACAACCTAAGTCGGGCATTTTTGCCTGGGGGGGAATGGAACTCGTGAATGAATGAATCTGAGAGGGAGCCGCCCCTCCGACCCCACCCCACCCCCCACCAGCTGAGGACTGGGATGGCGCCTTCAACTCCGCACTCATCAGAAGCTGTGATTGTTTCTAGGAACACACGTTGATAGGCTCGGCGGATTCCCAAGATATCCAGCTGTGTGGGATGGGCATCCTCCCTGAGCACTGTATTATAGACATCACACCAGAAGGCCAGGTGGAGCTGACGCCGCAGAAGAACACCAGGTACCGGACCACAGTCTCCTCTTTCAGAGGAGGATAGGTCTAGCCGGGCAGTGACAGCACACGCGGCCTTTGCTTGCTTTGAGGTTCTCTTGATGAAGATTTCCACATCCTCCTGATTTAACTCCATTCCATGGCGCCCTCCCCATACCTGGCACCCTGCCCTGTTGAGGCCCTGGTCTCCTTGTGATGGCACCTGCCTAGTTCACCTCATGACCGGGGGGCTCTGCTGGTTTGGGTGCAGAATGTCTTAGGCCCAGTCAGTCCTATCGTGGTCTGATTTTCTGTTTATCTTCTGCTTCTCCAAACTCCTCCCTTAACAACCTCTGCTCATCATTTCTTCTCTTTAACATTTGTCAAGCCGTCGTGTGGGCCTGACAAACTTTCCACTGACTGGAAGCGTGTGTGTGTGTTTTACGCTAGGAGGCTGTGGGAGACTCTCACATGGGTTCCATTTATTATTGATGCCTGCAGATATTTCTAGAGTCCAGTGGCTGATTGGCTCTCTTTATCTATCTAGTTTGGACATTCTTTTTTCTGTTGTGGCTGTACTGCGTACCAAGCACCATCTTTTTATTATTACAGTAGGGTCATGTATTTACTCCTTAAAATGCTACCTAGGAAACCTAAAACTCTGAAAACTGGAGGCTAATACCTGCTGTCTTTAGTCCCATAGCATTTCAGGAACATCACCAAGAAGTAAACACAAACACTGCAGTTCACCCTGGGCAGGATTTATTTGGGGAAATGGATCATTTTCTTGTTGCTGGTAACTAGAGCTCTGGTCTCACGAGCTTCAGGAGGAGAATATGATCATCGTTCTTGCCCTGCTTGGTCTTTCCTCTCCGCAGGACGTTTGTCAACGGCTCCTCAGTGTCTAGCCCTCTCCAGCTGCACCACGGGGACAGGATACTCTGGGGGAACAACCACTTCTTCAGGTAGGATGCATCTGTCATTCTTGAGGTGGCGATTAGCGACGATAATGCCTAACACAGAAGGAGACACTCTAGAGAGTAAACTCCACAGAAACGGTCTGTTCTCTGGCGTCTGTGGGGTTTGTCTCCAGTGTGAACCCCGGCCTGAAACAGCCCCGGGGCCTGCGGGTGCTCTCTGTGTGACTGCACACCTGTGTGCCTGCATGTGTGCTTGTTTCCCGCCGTGAAAGTGTAAACTTCCCGAGCGCAGTCACAGTAAGTGCATGTCTTTATTTAAAAAGTCATCTCCCTGCTCCCCAGACTCAACTTGCCTAAAAGGAAGAAGAAAGCAGACCGGGAAGACGAGGAGCAAGACCTGTCCACGAGGAACGACACCAGCTCAGAGCAGCTGGACGTGGACGGCGACTCCTCCAGCGAGGTGTCCAGCGAGGTCAACTTCAACTATGAGTACGCCCAGATGGAGGTGACCATGAAGGCCCTGGGCAGCAACGGTGAGCACGTTGGCGGGACGGTGTTCCTTGGCCACGTTAGCCAGAGGGAGACCCTTGGTCGTGGGTATCTGGACTTTGTCCCGTTGTCTTGGCTTCTGTGTTATTCATGAACGTTTCCCTTCTCTCCACCTTGCTGTGCGAGTCACTCAGGCATTACCCTCGCGGGTAGCGCCCCTCGGCTCAGTACTGGAGGGCATTGGGGGCACTTGCCTTGCCTCAGGCATGCGCAGGCAGTGGAGCAGACCTGCCTCTCCGAGGTGTAAGTGGCAGGGCCCTGGGGCGGGAAGCCGCACCTCACCCAACGACTTTACGAACCAGACACCAAATAGCATGACGAGGCGAGGCCGTTGCAGGCGTGCTGTGTGCTCGGCCCTCACTCTGAACCACCCCCTCAGACCCCATGCAGTCCATCCTGAGCAGCCTGGAGCAGCAGCATGAGGAGGAGAAGCGTTCGGCCCTGGAGCGCCAGCGGCTCATGTATGAGCAGGAGCTGGAGCAGCTGCGCCGGCGCCTGTCCCCCGAGAAACAGAACTGCCGCGGCGCCGACAGGCTGTCCACGCCCTCGCCCAGCGCCCAGCAGCGCCTGCGGCAGTGGGCCGAGGAGAGGTGGGTGCGCCTGGGTGAGCTTCAGACGGAAAGGTCTAGATCTTACTGGAAAGAAGGCTGTGAGCAGAGGGTGTTGGAGTGAAGGCCACTTGGCATCTCCTCTCTGGCTTTTTCCTGTTTGAGGAGACAGCAGGGGCCGTTTGTACTGGCCTCTGTGAAGCTGCCCTGGGAGGCACTGCCTGTCTTCAGCCTGTATGTTTGGCTTTCTGCTTGGAATAAACATATGTTTGTACTTAGAAGTCACACTTGCTATCACTGTATGGTACTTTAGGTTCTGAAGCTTGGGTAGACGCTTTTTAAAAAAGAGAAAAAAATGGGCGCTGATCTCAGCGGTTCCCTCAGGTCGGCCAAGCTCAGAGCCGCTGAGATTCCGGGTGCGGATTTGATCCACTCCAGTTTGTTGGCCTCCCGTGCCCGCCCAGTCCGAGGTGACGGGCTGCACACAGCACCCCCTGGCTCCTCGGAGCTGGGTCTCCAGGCTGGCAGCCTGTAGGGCCTGCCTTGGTCTCCTGGGTCAAGTCTCCAGTTCTGAGATGCACCACTGATCTGCAGCCAGTCAGGGCAGCCAAGCAGCCAGCTGTGCCCAAGCTTGCAGCCCCCCAGGGTGGGCACGGGTGGGGCCGGGGTCCCTCGGGGCTCCAGTCGCGGGTGCAGAGAGGACGATGACCTGGGCCCGCAGTGTTGAGAGTCTGTCATCACGTGCTCTGTGATGTCTTGGGTGCTGCCTGACGGGCCCCCAAACCCCAACCAACGACTTTTTTTTTTTAAAGAGAAGCATCCCTGAACAACAGCCTGATGAAGCTGAGGGAACAAATCGTGAAGGCCAATCTGCTGGTGCGAGAGGCCAGCTACATCGCGGAGGAGTTGGATAAAAAGACGGAGTACAAAGTGACCCTGCAGATCCCAGCCTCCAGCCTGGACGCCAACAGGAAGGTGAGCTCAGGCCCGGCTCTGGGCTGCCCAGCACCGCCACCAGGGCTCGGCCTCGGCCCCCGGGGCCCTCAGCCCAGGCCCGGCACCTGCCCCCGCGATGCTCTGCCTGTGCTCACGCATGTGCTTCATCCTCTAGATATACCCTGGCCCCTCACCCCCTTCCCAGCCAAGCTCTGTCCTCAACCCATCTCTGTCGAGTTCTCTGTGGTTTAGTAAGTCCCGGCTGTGAGTATCGGGAACCCCGGATCACGTGCTGTCTCTAAGTGGGTGAACAGGAGACTCTTCAGTGCCCTCTCTTGACCATTTTGTCCTTTGTGCCACATTAAGATGCTCCCCATTCAAAAAAACCTCAAACTTGAAACTTTTGAAGGGTAAAGGGCAGTTTGTGAGCTGTCCCCTGCCAGCCAGTGCTCACCTCCCAGTGCTCAAGGCTCTGCTGCTCTCTGTTGTGTGAGGGGCCAAGGAGACATTTCTGTCTCAAGTCCCGCTAAACAGGACCTGGGCTTTGGGCTTTCAACGTAAACGCACACCCGAGTCTATACATCTTTAAATTTAAATACAAATTTTAAACTGTGGTTGGGTAGAAAGGTGGTCCGGGGGCCTGTGAGCTTTCCGGGAGCGCGAGGCCCCCGCTGGGACCACTCGCCCCTGTTGGGGGAAGGGCCAGGGTCCTGGTCCGTCCCACAGGTCTGCGTCCTCACAGTGTCGCCCCTGTCCCTGCAGCGAGGCTCTCTGCTTAGCGAACCCGCCATCCAGGTGAGAAGAAAAGGAAAAGGAAAGCAGATTTGGTCTTTGGAAAAGCTGGACAACAGGCTGCTGGATATGAGAGACCTGTATCAGGAGTGGAAGGAGTGTGACGAGGACAGCCCCGTAAGTTCTCTGTGAGAACGACTCACCTGTGTGTCATGCAAGGGCCCAGGCCCGCGTGCGCCTGCCCGCTCTGGGGAGAACCGCCGTGTCTGCAAACAGCAGACCTGTTTCCAGAAGAAACCTCACCCTCGCTCTCCAGCAAGAATTCCAGCAACCCACTTTTTGGCATGTGTTTCTTGCTTGTTTTGTGTCCGCGGGATTTCTGGTGGAATCCTCACATCCCACTCTGCCTCCTGTCCTGGCCCAGGCCAAGCCCACGTCACCGCGTCCCTTCCATCTCCAGCGCCTCTGACCCCCAGAGAAGAAAGTCCCAGTGTCTGTGCCTGTGTCAGTGTCTGTGGCTGGGCGGGCCCTGGTATCTGTGTCCTCGGGCCGTGTTCCGAGGGGTTAGAGCCCCGCGGAGCTGCCTCTGCGCCTTCTCTTCCGGTGTGGCTCTTCCCGCTTTGGCCGGCAAGGGCCTGCACGTGCTGAAGTAGAGATGCGTAGGGTGCGCTTTTCTTTTGTATTTTTAACACGGTGGCGTCTGTTTCTTTAGCCTCTTGTTTCATAAAATGTTCATTTCTCCCAGAGAGTCACCAGTAGAAATCTCTTCTTCTGGTTAGGGGACGTTTTCGCTTAAACACAGTTCTCACTGTCTCCTGCGTTCTCTGATGTGAGCTCAGCGTGGTCCCTGGGGCCACCACTCTGTGGCAGCGCGGCTGAGAACCTGGCGGAAAAACGGATGTGAATGAGAAATGCAAAGTAGTTTCTACCTTTCTAGTCCGTGTGTGTTTCTCTGTCTCCCCGACAGGAGGAGAGATACTGGGAGTGCTGATGAGCAGGGCGGGCGCTGGCAGTGGAGGGCATGGGCGGGAGGAGGCGGGGGCGCGTGGCAGCGCGAGACCTCAGCCGGGCTGGAGGCCGCGGCGAGGCCACACCTGGGGTGGGGTCTGAGGTCGGTCATTTTCAGTGTCTTGTTGAAGTTGAATGTTCCGGATCTCTTGGAAGGTCACGCGGTCTTACTTCAAGCGAGCCGACCCTTTCTACGACGAGCAGGAAAACCACAGTCTCATCGGGGTGGCCAACGTCTTCCTGGAGACCCTCCTCTATGACGTGAAGCTGCAGTACGCGGTCCCCATCATCAACCAGAGGGGAGAGGTGTGTCTTCCCCTTGCGCGTGTCACCTGTTGCTCGGCGGCCCTTACCCTGGGGCCGTTCCTCATCGTAATGCCGGGTGATGCTCTGGGTCTCACATTCCTGGCGTTTCCACGCTGCTTAGGGTGGTGAGCGCAGGCCCTGAGGGAAAGTCAGGCCTGTGCTTGCGGATGTCAGGAGAGAGGCGGCGATGCCTATAAAGGGTCTGCTCCCCACTGCAGGTGGCCGGGCGGCTGCACGTGGAGGTGATGCGTGTGAGCGGCGACATCGGGGAGAGGATGGCGGGAGGGGACGACGCTGCAGAGGTCTCCGCCGACAAGGACATCCCGGACAAAAAGCTCGTGTGCATGGTAGGTCCCGGCCGCCACGGGGTAGGCGCGTGGCTGATTTTGAGAGTTGTGGGTATTTAGAAAATCAATGTCACGATCTTTTTCGAATTTCGAGACTGTTTCTAAAGAGACCTCAGTGTGCCGTGTCCTGCAGCCCATGTTTTGCCCTGTGCCCGGGTACTGGCCTCCAGGAGCTGCCCGCTTTCCTTGAGAGGCCCTCCAGAGTGACCTCTGTCTCTGGGTTGCTCTGCCCGCGCTTGGGTGGGTCCAGGGGTCTGCGCACTTACCCAGGGAAGCCAGTTTCCACCCAGGTTTCCTCCCCTCACCGGGGCGCTTGATTCCTGCTGACCACAGGGATGAGCCCAGTCCTGGGCCTGACCCTACATGCCCGCCCTGAGTCCTCCTCGTGCCCTATGAGTCCTCCTTGCACCCCGTTTTTGCTTCGTCGTATTCTGACCCCACTTGTCTCCCTGTTCTCCCCCTGCATCCCTCCAGCAGGACACCTGAGCGTATCTGCCCACAGGGACACAAGGGGGTGAGGGCTGCGCTCAGGCTGCAGGAGTGTGTGGGGCACACGAGGGCACAGCACCACCGTTGGCCTGGGACATGGGCGTGGGCATGGTGGCCACGCTTGTCCTAGGTGCAGGGGAGTGGCCCTTCGGACCTCAGGGCCTCGGGTCGCTTCTGGAGAGACCAGGCTCCAGCTGACTGGACGAGAGCGTGTGTAACTGTCTTCCCAGTGCTGTGGGTCACAGGGAACTGTGGCTTTGGTTCTTAGAGCCCGCCCATTAGCAAGGGTGGTGCCCGCCAGCCCTTAGTCATCACGTGGAAAACCCACTGCCAATCAGTGTCGAAACCAGTTCAACAGGTTTTTGAGGCAAGAGCTCAGCAAAGTGCACAGGGAGGAGTGTGGGGAGCAGCTGAGCTCAGCACTGGCTTCCTGCTCTGCTCTCGCCCCCTTCCTGTCTCAGCGCATGTTTCCAGGACTGAGAAGAGTGGCTTGGGCACAGCTGCGGGGTGCGGCGAGCGGGAGCTGGGCAGGCCGGCTCCTCTCTGTGGTCCCGGGTGTGAGGGGGCCTTAGCGTTCCCGAGCTGCTTCAGTCCCGTGGGGGGCTCGGGGTGGGAATCTCACATCACCAAAAGGTCAATCTTGATTGTTTTGCACTTGATTTCATAATATTTCCTTTGTGGCTATATGGGCATCACAGATTGGGCATAGGCCTGAGGACGCTGTCATGTCCCATTGTTTTATTTTTTAATTTAAAAAATTTCACGGTTTTGAAAATGATTGGAACCTGATGGGGGGCACATACTTGGTGGGGGGCGGCACAGAAGGTTATCCCCTATTGAGTGGGAGAAAATACTCACAATACACAGCTGGGGAGGACTGTTGACCCCATCAACAGTCAGCGTCTTCACCGAGCAGCGGTCAGCAGTGGTGGACATCAGCGCTGCTCAGGACAGTCCCCCCCCCGGCCCATGTCAGGACAGCCCCATGGCAGGCAGGTGGCATCGCCCCCTCAGACGGTGGCCACACAGAGGAGAGCCGCGTGTCCATCAGGGTGGCTGACAGACATGGAGGCACAGACTTGAACTTCATTTTCTTTTTAAGGTTCTGTGTGAATTTATTCATTCATTCGTTCATTCCCAGCACCACTCGTTTTAGCCCCTTGTCCCCCCCTTAACTGTGGAGCCCCCACAGTGTTTATTTTGATGTCCGCTGGCTCGGAGAGTACTCCACCGTCGGTCACCTGCCACGTGATGTCCGGCGCCCACTTTCCCGAGTCCAACTCGTTCTCCTGCACGCAGGTCTCTTGCGCGCGGCCGTCTTGCTGAGTGGGCTGCGCCTCGTCTTCCCCCGCGGGCGGGTGTTGCAGCCTGTGGCCAGGCCACGCTGCTTATTGTCGGGTCACAACCTGGCTGCTTCTGCGTCCCGCTGTTGGGAACGTGTGGCTGTGTGGATGGACGCGGATTCAGCGGACAGAGGCCCAGCGCGGGATCATCGTCTGGTGTTTCCATTTTCAGTCCTGGTGGCTTTCCGTCAGGTGGTGCCGGCGCTTCCCCCACCGCGTGCCGGGGCTGCCCCTCCTCTCGGCCTCCCCGGAACTGCATGGTGGGGCCTATCCCACGTGTCGGCGTCAGGGTGTGAGATGCCGTTTGTGGTGTTAACCTGCCCTTCTCACTAGAAGCTGGGGTGGGCGTTTTTTCATGTCTGTGGGTCTGCTGGGGCTCCTCGTTGGCGGAGTGTCTGTTCGCGCCTGCCTCCCGTTTACTAATGCTGCTTGTTTTTTGTTGTCGGGCTGAGTGCATGTTCAGTATTACCAATAGTAACCCCTCCCTGGCTGAGTGTTGTGAGTATTTTCTCCCACTCCATAGAGTTTCTTTTTAACCTTCTTGTATCTTTCTTTTGCTGTATTGCAGCTTTTGACCTGTTTGTTTGGCTGTCATTTCTCTGGCCCCACGGCCCATTTGCAAGGCTGTGCGCGCAGAGGGCGACAGCTCATGCCGCTGTTGGTAAAATAGCACAGAGAAGTGCGTCGTTGTCTCTGAAAACTGTACCCTGGGTAACACGAGCTTTGTTTAAAAATGAAGTTAAAACATCTTAAGGTTTTCATAATGGACGTTATCAAACAAATGAGTAGTGAGAAAAGTGGTGTGGGCCCCCACGCACCCCTCGCGGGCATCACCTCCTGGCCATCTTGCCTCATTCTTACACCCCAGCCGGCTCTGTGCCCGCTCCCAGGGGTTGTTCTGAAGGGATCCCAGACACCCCACTTCATTTGTAAAGGCAGGGGATAAGTGCCAAAGGAAGGCACTTAAAAAAAATAATAAATCAATACATTCTTAATATCATGAAATATTCATTCAATTTTCTTAATGTCTTGGTTGATGTGTCTCTTAAGTTTATTTAAATCTTAGGGCTCCGCTCTCCCTTACCTGGCAGCTAATTGTAGAATGAGCTGCTGTCTTGCCTGGATTCTTAGTACGGGCGGGCAATGGAAGGCGGGCCCGGGGGCGGGGCAGAGGGCGAGCCCCGGGCCTGGTGTGCTCGCCCGCCAGGGACACAGCGTCCGGTTTCCTCCTAGGGACAGGGCCACCCCGGCGCGCACCCTCAGGTAGATCGTTAGGAATGAGAGAAACGACACCGCGACCTGCTGTCCCTTCATTCACTAGCCGGAAACCTCTGGACCGCGTCTTCCACGGGCGGCGCTGTGGCTCTCTTGCTGTCAGAGATGCGGTTTGGACAGGAAGGCAGAGGGCTCCCCTTCCTCCCTCTACTCACTACTTTCAAAATGACGGGCTGGGACCCAAAGGTGGTCAGTGATACTTTTTTTGGAGGTTTTGTTTTTAGTCTTAATCATTATGAACTCTTGGAGCTGAACATACCGGTGTGTTTTGATCCGTGTATTTATTACCTGACTTGGAGCTCAGGTGACCCTGGCTTTGGTCCTGGGCTCTCCGGGGCGGCTCTCCCACCTGACATGACCCCAGCCGCGCAGACTGCCCGCCCTCTGCAGCGCTGGACCTTCCGGCCTCATCTTGTTCGTTTCCTGTCCCGGGTGTGGAATCAGCCATTTCTTCAGGGAGCCTGTTGCCTTTCGGGGGGCACGTGCTTCCAGGACCACTCCTGAGCTCGGAATAGCCTTTGATGTAAAAAAGAGGAGAACCAGTAACCCATATGACAATAAACAAAACGTGAGTGAAAAAGCCACATAAACCCAGCTGGGAGGCTTCAGATACGAGGAGGGATGAGCCTATAAGAGAAGTTGGGATTTGTTTTTCCATGATTAAAAAAAACACACACACCCTTAGTATTAGCATAATACCATTGTCAATTCCACGACATAAAATCAGTTTATTAAAAAAAAACCCCACAAACAGCGTCCCTGTCCGCTGACATTCTTGCCTTCCTGCATCGTGACCTGTGGAATTCTGACCCCTGGTGGACATTCTGATTTTGGTGTTTAAAAACTTAAAAACAAGCTGCGTTCTCGATATCCAGCTATTCCTCGTTCCTGGCGTCTTTCTCCTGAGAACGAACCTGCGGGTGTGAATGCTGCACATTGAATCTTGCTTTCTGGTTTATTGTGAACTGAGATTAACTTCTAAGGCTAGAAAGTGGCTTCGCGACGGCCTCCGTGACAGGAGCACGTGTTGTGAGCACTTGTCCGCTCGGTGCCCGGTGTCCTTCCCTCTCTCTCACTGCAGTGGCCAGCCCGGACCCCGTGTCACGATGCCTCGCCCGCTTGGCATGAGAGAAAACTAGGGCAAGAAAACTCAGATTTAAGTAATTTGTTCAAACACACAAGATAGTGACTGGTAGCTAATTTACTTGAACATACGTGCCTCCAAAACCTTGCGGTCTTCCCGAACCCTCTGTTGCTCACCTTAAAGAAGCCAGTAAACATTTTGAAACACTTAATGAAAAATTGGGAGCTCTAAAATGTCCCAGCAGGCTGGGTGCTGAGTGCTGACGGCTCTGTGGGTTTGGAGGAACAGGCCATGCGTGTTGGCCTGTGCGCCTGCCAGGGAACCTCTCCAGGGGATTTCAGCTCTTGCTAACACCACGGGAAGAAATGGAGGATCGGGGGTGGGGGGGGTCCCTTTTGCTACCTTCCCATTTTGTGACTGGTTTGGGAGCAAATAAAGCCGCTGGCTCTGTGTGACTTTGGTTGTTGCTAACGTTCCTAAAACGTTAGGGTTTCTGCGTTGGCTGCTGGACAACCTCGGCCTCTGCCACACGCTGAAACCTGCATCTGTCGTGTTTCCTTGCTGGCAGTTGAGTGCCTCGTGCGTGAGACGGGTCGGATGGCCCAAGGTGGGTGCCACAAGGCCTGGTCACTTGGCCTGGCACGCAGGAGTCGGTCTTACCAGCAAGGTTGGAGCTCAGTCCAGCTTACCTAACTGCAGGCCTTAGTTTCCTTCCTAGCTGGGAGGTGGAGGTTTCCTTCGCAGTTTCTTTCCAGAATTTATGTGGACATGAGGGTCTGGTGAGACCCGGCCTCTAGCTCCACGCTGCTCCTGCAGGCCACACCTCCCACAGGCCAGTGTGGAGAAGGCATTTAGGAAGCATCACAGGGGATGGCCAGGGTTCACCAGCTCTAATCTCCCTTCTGCCCCCTCCCCCAGGTCTTTCAAGTGCACATCCCCGATGCTGGTTAAAGATCTCCCAGAAAGCACCCTCCAGCAGGGGACACTTCTGCTTGAGACTTTGTTTCTCTTTATGTTCAAAAACATCAAGTGACTGTCCTGCCCTTCCTTGAGTATTTGTTCTTTATCTGCATCAGCACGATGCCCTGCCTTCATGCTCTTTTCCGTCCTGCGTTCCTAGGGCGCACCCACGCCAAACCCGTGTTCCGAGTGCTGCTGGCTTGAGAGCGCCCCTCAGTCCGGTGTCACTATTGTGTGATGGTGGTGGTGTTACAGGAAACGAGAATTTGAGTGCCAGCCATCAGCCTCGAAAATGCTTTAAAACACCCCACCTGCGTTGTCAAGGTGGCTGTTACCTTGTGTCAACCTCTCCCTAAATGTGACAGTCATGCCCTTTCACAAACACTACAGAGCAACTAGGTTTGGGTCATAAGAACCCACAGTCAGCGGCGTGGCAAGACAGCAGCTGTCTGAAGGGAAATCCAGCAGAGCCTTCCCTTCCTTCAGGTTAAGATCCTCCAGGCCACCGGGCTGCCGCAGCACCTGTCCCACTTCGTATTCTGCAAATACAGCTTCTGGGATCAGCAGGAGCCAGTGATTGTTGCCCCGGAAGTGGATACGTCCTCCTCGCCTGTCTCCAAGGAGCCTCAGTGCATGGTGGTCTTTGATCACTGCAAGGTAAGTCTGTTCTCCATACTGGCACTCAGTCACTGGGTGCAGCCAGTGGGAAGCCAGCCTGCTTACTGAATTAGTGGGGAGCAAGGTGCATCTTGGACCAGTTCTAAGGGGGCATGGGGACACCTCAGGCCTGCAGTCTTCTGTGTCGCCACTTCCGTGAAGCTGGGACAGAGGCCCTCGTGACAGTGCAGTTCTCCCCCAAGTCAGACACTCACGCTGCGTGAATGCACTCGTGTGTGTAGCGTGTATTGTGTGTGCGCGTGGGTGCTCCCGAGATGACTGCAGACGCTGCTGTCTAAACAGGCTACGGGCTCGTGTCTCAGGCAGTGAAGCTGGAGTGCAGACGGGACCCATGTGGTCCTCCCACTGGTTCCTCGCATGCCCCCCGGGGACAGTGCCCTTCAGCTGAGGCGACGCCAGCTCGGCCAGTTGTGCCGGCACCGCCAGCCCCAGGCTCTTTTTCCTGCTGTCCAACACTTGATGAGTCTCGGGTTTTTTCTAAAGGGGGTCGTCCCTTCCTAACCTGTCTAAACTTAGAAATACCTGTAGTGTGTTTAGGGTGGAGCGAGGAGATTCTGTGACTTAAAAGTGAGCCTTTTTAGAGCTCACACCCACTTATCCCAGAGCACCACCTTACGCCTCATCTTGTAAAGATGGACAGGGTGGGAGATTTTTCATAATTTGGTGATTTTTTTTTTTTTTGCACTGAATGATCATTATTTCTATTCTCTCCCATCATTGGAGACAATTTGCTTCCTAAAACTAGGAAAAATGGTTTTTCCTACACATTGTTACATTATTTCAGGTGGTAACTTATGTCAAGAAGTCATAGGTGAGGGGCCTCCCCAGTGGCGCAGCGGTTGAGCGCTGGGCTGAAAAGCTGCCCGCAGCCTCTGCAGCACCGGTTCGATCCCCGGCCACCGGCGAGGGTCCCACATGGCGCGCAGACCTCTCCTGCCGCCCGCTGCTCCCCTCAGCAGTGTGCTTTGGTCCTTCTGCCTGTTCTGCTCCCCGCTCTGGCTTTGGTGAATTCTCTTACCCTCCCGCGCTTCTGACTGTACCCAGTGCTTGTATAAACAAATAAATAAATCTTAAAAAAAAAAAAAAAAAAAGGAAGTCATAGGTGATTCTTGTGGTTCTTGATGCAGTTTTGTGCTTTTAAAAATATCTCCTAAAACATTGCCAACAAAATAGGAAACAATGCTGGCCTCGCACAGTAAACTTCCAAGGGGGAAAGTGTTCAAGAATCAGTTACAGTTAATTTTAAAGTCGAGAGCTTTGGCCACTGAGCCCCCACTGTGGAGGTCAGTTCCACGATGGAGGAGCTGGTGCCAGCCGTCAGCAGCCCCAGGCAACTGGAAGGTGCTTCTTTTCTGCACTTGTTTGTTTCAGGAGTTTTCTGTGACCGTCACTGAGGACTTCGCTGAGCATCTTCTGGAAGGCGCCTTGGCCATTGAGGTGTATGGCCACAAGGTCGACGACCCCCGGAGGAACCCCGCCGTGTGGGACTTGGGGATCATTCAAGCAAAGACACGAAGTCTTCGCGACAGGTGAGGGAGTCTCCTTCTGGCTCCATGGTGAGGGAGACCGTTGCCTGCACACTCCCCAGGGCCCAGGGAAAGATGGGGGTGGCTGCGGGAATTTTAAAGGCACAGGTACACTCCTGTAGAGGAGGCAAGTGATGGGAAAGGAAGGATGTAGGGGTTTAAGGAGAAACAGCGCAGTGAGTTTTTGGCTCATAGGATGCTTGTGGTTATGAACTATCTCTAGTGAGGGAGCTGGAGAGAGAATGGGTCGGGGCGCGCTCTGGAACCCAGCACGGCCTGTTCTGTCCTTGCCCGACACCCTTGCAGTGATGTCAGTGACGAAAGGAGGCTTGTTGGTTGGCCAGAATTTTACTGTATTTTATTTATTTATTTACAAATCCTTTTTGTTTCTTGAAGATAATGTTGGGTGTTAGCACCATACCTGTTTTAGGCGTACAGGTTCGGGTGAACCACACTATGCTCACCACCAAAATACGAGCAACACCCCCAGTGTCCCTCCCCCCCATGCTCCTTCACCCCCTCAGATGAACCTCTGTTCTACAGTTAGATTTCCAGGATTTTGCTGGTGTCTTTGCTTCATTTCTTTATATTCCACATGAGTAGAATCAGCCTGTATTTTCCTTTCTCCTCCTGACTTACTTGCTCAGTATCACCCCTCAGTTCCATCCATGTTGTCAAGGGCAAGAAGTCATCTTTCTTTTTTTTTTTTTTTTTTTTTAAATAGAGGCATGTTTATTTATTTATTTATTTGTTTTGTTTGTTCTGTTTACACATGCACTGGGTACAGTCAGAAGCGCGGGAGGGTGAGAGAATTCACCAGAGCCAGAGCGGGGAGCAGAGCAGGCAGAAGGACCGAAGCACACTGCTGAGGGGAGCAGCGGGCGGCAGGAGAGGTCTGCGCGCCATGTGAGACCCTCCTCAGGTGGCCGGGGAGCAGCCGGGGATTGAACCGGCGCCGCAGAGGCCACGGGCAGCTTCGCAACCCAGCGCTCAACCGTTGTGCCACCGGGGAGGCCCAAGAAGTCATCTTTCTTGATAGCTGAGTGGTGTCCCCTGTGCATACAGGCCACACCTGGCCCACCCCATGGCCGGAGCACTTGGGTTGCTCCACCCGTGGCCATGTGGACAGAGGATGCAGCCGTCCTGTGAATTAGCATTTCATGTTCTTCGCGTGGACTCCTACGAGTGGGCTTGCTGGCTCACATGATAGATCAGTGTCTCGAGAAACCTCTGCATTGTGTTCAGGGGCTCGGCCGTCTCATCCCACCAGTGGTGACACGGTTTTCCTCCACGCCTTGCCCAACAGTCTTTTCTGGTGTTGGCTGGGATTTTAAAGGAGTTAAAAGGAAATGGCTGGAAGAACTTATGTCTTACTTTTCCTCTAAATATAGATGAGAACCAGATATTCTTTTTTCGCATGAGGGAGGTTTTAGCACCTAGTCAGTCAGAAGCTGAGGTTTTGGTCCCTTAACCTCCTACTGACCTGGCGGAGGTCCTTCAGTCACTGAAGCCCAGTCCGCTCTTGCGGGCTGCATGTCTGAAGTGACCAGTGCGAGATAGACTTGTCCTTTTCATGCTTTAACCATTTCTAGTTCTAATATAGTTTGGCTTTGCCTTGAATTGCATTTGCCAGTGTGTGCATGAGTGTCCATCGCTGACCGACCGCCGCTCGTCCTGCCTGGAGGTCGCCAGCGCGGTTAGGGCACTCAGCTGCCTGCGTGAGACGGAAACGTAAGGTCTCCCAGAACTCCGCCTCTTTCCTAGGTGGAGCGAGGTCAGCAGGAAGGTGGAATTCTGGGTTCAGATTCTGGAGCAGAACGAGAACGGCGACTACTGCCCGGTGGAAGTGACCCCTGCGAAGGATGTGCCGACTGGAGGGATCTTCCAGCTCCGGCAGGTAAGAAACCAAAAGTTGCTGTTCCAAGCACAGACGTGAAGGGCGTCAGCCTCACACAGCTTAACCCTTGGCTCCTTTTGGTGGCGTGAACGGAGTCAAGCCTGGCCAAGTCCCCATCTCGCGTTAAAATCATCTCCCACGCAGCTGTATTTTCTTTCAAAGTCCGCCTTTGGGATATTTTAAACGCAGCATCTGTTAGGTGTGAAGCAAGAGGAAGATGAGCTCGAGTGGACAGCTGGGAACTGAGGAGCGGAGATAAGCAGACGCATCACCTGGCTGTGCACGGCGGGCATGGGCAGGGACAAGCGGGGTGGACCCCCGCCCACCTGTGCCCACGAGAGGCCAGCTGCCACTGTGCAGGCCCAGGGGCCACTCGCACTCACTCTGGGTGTGACGTGGCCCTGGCAACACTCCTTCCTGGGGTTTGTACAAGGACTGACTCACTGGACCCCTCACCCAGGTTGAGATCTGTCCAGTGTCTCCAACTCACCATGAGAGAGAATGTCTTCATAGACTCTCACATGAGGCTTGGAAAGAGCCTTTGCTGGCCATACTTTATATATAGTGACTCAGCGTTCGGTAGAAGACTGAATTCTGTGATGGCTCTACGACAATAGTTGAATATTAAAATAGCTCTAGAAAACGAATGTTGAAATCATTTGAAGCAAAATATAAAAAAAGGTTAAAGGAAAAAGATATTGCTTAAACTTTGGGAAGGTCAGAAGCACTTGTGCTTTGGTCCCAGCAGTGAGGTTTAGGGGTTCATTCATGTGTGGTGGGGAGCAAAAGGAGAAGCTGGTTTAAGCCATAGCTTGAGATATATGCATAAAGGAATTTTCAGGGTGTGAAGAACATCTTTCTTGAACATCTGTGAAGACATATATATATATATATATATATATATATATATATATATATATATATAATCTTCTTTGGATGCTTTAGAAACTCACCTCCTAGAAGACAAACCAGGCGATTTTCTGTGGTTCAGTGTAAATTGAAAATTGAAGTGTTTGTCTTGCTTCTGACCTTTCCTGAACGTGTCCAGGGTCGTGTCGGGTTCTTGGAAAAGCCTTTTTTGGCAGATGTGTGTCTTGACCTGGCTGCTGAAGGAATCCTCCAGGCTGGACGCACTGTGGAGGAATACTGGCATGGAAGTGGGAATTAGGAGAGTGGGGGGGGCAGGGCCGTGGAGGAGGGGACGCAGCACCAGAGGCCGGGGAAGCCTGTGCAGCTGGGTCCAGAGGGCAGGGCCGGCTCGGGCCTCAACATACTTTGCAATGGAACAGGGATGTGAAGGAGAAAAACTGCTTTTATAGTTAAAAAAACAGGCAAATATCAGCAATTACAAGGAGTCAGTCTCATTGCTCAAGACTTCTGTGAATGTTCCTTAAAGCCGCCCTCTGCCTCCTCACCCGCTCATCCTGACCCGCCCAGCCTGGACGCACAGGCTCAGCGCCGTCACTCTGGCCAGGCAGGGGGGCCGACGGGGCGGCCGGTCCCAGGGACACACAGACCCTGGGGAATATTGAATCAAAAGACATCTGCTGCCCATCTTCCAAGTCAGGCTTGATGGGGTCCATTGTTGCCTTCCTTGATTTTCCTGATGACACCAAACCCCCTGCAATTAAAATCTGATGGAAGAGGGGAGAGGATCTAAATGGAAATTATATATTCAAACTCCAGTTTTCCAGTTCTCTTACATTCCTAAACGTATAAGCCAACTTAGAAGTCCGTAATTTGGAGATGCTGGGAATTTTCTTTAAAACTATTACTTCATTGTAATATACAAGCTACATAGTATTTCTGCTGAAAATGTGCCTAAGAAGCCATGACTTCTCTGATGAATTCCACAGTAGCCAATCTGGTTTAAAATGATTGGATTTGGTGGTTAGAGTGGTGACTGTCTGCTACTAGTGATTCTTCTTGTTTCTAATTGTACTCACTTTAAAAAGCGGATCATACCGTTTATATTGGGTTTGGTAATCTGCTCTTTAACCTAATATAGCATGTATGATTTCAACTGCAATATTTTAATGACTGCGATATCTTATTACATAAACTACAGTTTAAGCAGTTATATGATGCATTTAATTTGTATCTTTTTTTTTATTTTTAGCATTGCTTTAAGATACTTCACATGTATGATTATTTATAGATTCCCTCAAGGTCGAGGGATATTTCTAAGGCCAATTGCCCAGGAGAAAGTATGTTCCACGTTATGATCCCACAGTGCAGTAACTGCCAGTTTCATAAACTTTGGGCTGTGTTAGAAATTGCCTTTATAGATGATTGCTTTCACCTGTTTCACAGGTGAAAATAGAAGTGTGTCCCTGCTTATTTTAATTTTTATTTGATTATTAGCTCATTGAACGTCTTTTGGCATCCAGTCTTTTGCGTTGCCTTTGTTAGAATGTTTTCTTTTAATTGAAAAGAATATGTAAACCATCTGTTTGTTCTGTGTCTCTCTACTCGCCTAAAAGATAAACCAATTTCCTGATTACTTTGCAATCTGTAGAGTGGTTTTCTCAACATTAGCCTGTAGGGGTCTCTCTACACCACACTTTTGGGGATCACCCTGATTTTCAGCAACTCTGACGATTGTGTGTGTGTGCAGGGCCAGTCCCGGCGGGTCCACGTGGAGGTGAAGTCGGTGCAGGAGTCGGGGGCGCTGCCCCTGATAGAAGAGGGCATCTCCTCTGTGGGCATCGGCTGCGTGAAGGTCCGGCCGCTGCGGGCCCCCCGCGCTCACGAGGCCTTCCACGTAAGTGCCTGTGCTGCTACACCCTCCTCAGAGGTCCAGCCCCCCCAGAGTGTCTTTGGAACCTGCCAGAAACTGCCTCTGCAGACAACTTTCAGTCGCCCCTCGCTGCTGCTCTGTGTTCTTGCACGCGGCACCCCCTGCTGCTTTGTTGGCGTGTTGGGGGTTAAAGCACCTCAGCCTCCAGGAACCCTCCAACTCGCCTGATTAACCAACTCCACCCCCCACTACCCTGCAGCAGCCCCCTGCCAGGCTGTCTAGATGCTGCCAGCAGGCCCCATGCTGACAGCAGGCCTGGGTTTTCCCTGGAGAGGGGCTGTGCCCAGCGGGAGCCTGTTGTCCTGCTTCCCCAAAGGTCTGTTCTTCCCTTTCCCTGGAGAAGCTCAAGATTTTATTCCAACTTCCTGAAACCCACAGATCCTGGAGGGAGGGCCGTGTAGGTGGCAGGGAAACAGGTGTCCATCAGCAGACAGTGACGAGTGTGGGGAAGCGCGATAGTTTAGCGGAGTCTTGGCTTCACATCTGCTTTCTCTCTTAGGAGGAAGAGGAGGACATGGACAGCTACCAGGTAATTAGGGCCTATTGGCCTGTCCAGTGAGCTTGATAAACCCGAAACGATATTCTGACGTTTGTTACACACCCCAAGTAATGAGATAGTTCATTTTGAGTCAGATACTGCTTTTTCTCAAAAACAAGGAATGTTTTCTACTGATAATGTAAATTCTGCTTCGCACAGGAAAACATTTATGACTGTTACACTTTTCCACACCCGGGGCTCCCAGCCTCCAGCTTTCTCATCATGTGGGGTGCCCTGTCTTCTCTCTTTGGGATCCGTCCCCTGCAGAGCTTGAGCAAGTCTCACCCCTCGGGTCTCCCACATTTCAAGCTGGGTCTCCCTGCTTCCTGGGCCGCACAGGATTGGTGCTGGTTCCCCCGTCCCCTCAGCTCCTGCACGGTTCATCTCGCCGGCTGTGTTAGTCATTGTCTGGACTGCTGACTGCTTTGGGCCCGGATTATGTCATCCAGTGCAGTCACGCTGCTGGTTTTGCATCATTCTAATTGGATAAAAATGTCTGCCTTCCAATAAGTTGTTGATAAAAGTATCCGATGGGGTTAACTGCAGGGTCCTGTAGCAGTGGGGGAGACTTCCCTGAAGCCCACATTCCTCCATTAATCACCGTGCTGTGGATGTGGCATCTCAGCCTTCGTGACTTCTCCCCCGTGCATCGCTCCTCCGCTTGCCCGCAGCGTGTCACGAGGCATTTGGTTAAGTGCCTTAGCGAAGTCCAGATACCCTCCGTCCCCCGCCTCCCACTGGGCTACCCGGTCTTGTAACTTTATTACCGAAGGAAATGAGGTGGAATTGGCGTCCGGTCAGGTGTTGACTGGTTCGGTTGATGACACCCCCCTTCCCTGCCAAACAAGCCCACAAAAGGCAGAGGAACCGGCACTTGTTCGCCCAGACCAGAGATTACATGCTAACGGCGGCCTCCAGGGACTCGAAGGCCCCTGTGCTGGCTCCAGGGGTGCGCCCTGAGGGTTACGGAGTCACCTTGTGGTTTGTATGCAGCGAAGTGACCGCCTGGAGGATCTTAGTGGCGAGTGTGACGTCCGTCCCGTGAGCCTCTAGCACTGAAGCTGGCTCTGATCACACGGGCGGGTTTGGAAACGGTCTCCAGCACGTAGCGCTTTAATGTCTGCAGGTTTCAGTTCTGAAGCTCCGAGCCAACACATAGTGGTTCCCAGACGAGCCTGTGCGGGCTCCACGTGCGGGGTCCTCCGGGGGTGTGGGTGCAGGCCGGTCATGTCGAGCTAGGCTGAGCTCACCTCCTTCCCTCCCCGCCAGGACCGGGACCTGGAGAGGCTGCGCAGGAAGTGGCTTACCGCCCTGACCAAGCGCCAGGACTACCTGGACAAGCAGCTGCACAAGTCCGTCACCAAGAGTGGTAGGAGAAGCGCTGAGTGCGCCCCACTGCCCCGCCGCGCCCCTGAGCCAGGAGCAGGTGGTCATCCGTAATGGGGAGGTGGGAGCCCAGGGGCTTGGCCTCCTGGTGCGTGGCGCCTTAGCCCGCGTCTCCCCCCAGCCCCAGCAAGGAGAGAGAAAGCACAGCACACATGCACGTCCCCCGGCACCTGCGGGAAGGTGCTGATGTGGCCTGATTTCTTATCCAAAAGTGCCGGCGCCTCTAAGCTTCCAGTGCTGTTCCCGGCGGGCCGTCCACAGCCAGCAGCCCTGGAGCACGGCACCCTCCACCTGTGCTTCTTTATCCACTGAGACACACACCCCCGCTCAGGGGTCGCCTTCCTCGAGCCCCCCACCTACTGCTGAGACGCAGGCGTGGGCCAGGCCTGTGAACGGCAGGTGAGGGTCTGCCATTGCTCCTCGCTCCCCTGCTCTAGATAAGACAGAGGATGATGCTGACCGCGAAGCCCAGCTTCTGGAGATGCGGCTGACGCTCACGGAGGAGAGGAACGCTGTGATGGTCCCCTCCGCCGGCAGCGGCATCCCGGGGGCCCCTGCAGAATGGTACGGATGCTGCCCCGGCCTCAGGAACCCTCCGAGGCGCCTGCTTATGCGCGGCCTGTGCTCCGTGGGTGGGGGGCCTGGCGGCGCGCTTCAGGGGTTATGGGTGAGAGGAGGCGTTCAGTTCTTTCCTCGAGTTGGAGTAACTGTGGCCTAAAATGGTGCTTTATTAAATATTATTATGGGCCCAAGTAATGAAGATTTCTGAGACTCTAAATCAATATTTAGTATCATTGCACTTAGCACTAAAAAAATTATGTTAATTCCTTGGGCTGTTCCCTTAAAGACCGCTGGATCGTAATAAAGTTGCATCTCCAGGAGTTTTGGGCTTCGGTGCTTAAACTGTGCTGTCAGCAGATGCTCCTACAGAGATGATAAAGAACTTTATAGAAATTAAAATAGCAAATTGAGTCACGTGGGGCCCTCCAGTTTCTAACAGAATGAGGAAGTCCCTGGGCAGGGGTCAGGGGCGAGCAGATGTGGGTCTCCTGTCCGGGCAGGTGGAGGCCGGGCGGGTCCTGGGAGTCTGTGTGGCTGCTCTGGTGGAAACCACCGTGAGACCACAGCTGCTCGCTCGGCCCGCAGTGCTTGTGGGTGTGCGTGAGCGTCGGTTCTGTTGGTGATGCCACCTGTTGTTCCGTCGTAGGACTCCTGTGCCCGGGATGGAGATGCACATTCCTGTCATCTTCCTGGACCTCAACGGTGAGTTTGCAGGTTTTCTCGAAGGCTCGTCCTGCTGAGGCAGCACTGGTGTAAGGGGGCGACTCCATGAGGCTAAGGTTGGGCCCCTTGTTTGTGCCCCAGAGGACTCTGACCTTGGGCCGAGAGTGGGGCTCTGGAAGGCAGCGTTTGCGTGGCGGGAACGGCCCCTCTCCCCAGGGCTGTGCCTGTGTGTCCTCCCTTCTCTCGCCAGTGCCCGTGGCGGTGACCTTACCTGCACCTGACATGCTTTCTTCTTTAATTCTTAGGGGACAGCTTGTGTCTGGGAAGCACTGATAACTAGCGGGGCCTTTGTGGCCTCTCTTCTTAGCACCTTTTAAGCCCCCCATTTTCTGTGGGTCCCTCCCTGAGCCATCTCTTTATCAAGTATTTCTTGCCAGCTCCCCCAGATCCTGTAAAGTGTTTCAGATGTGGCTCCCTCTTACATACATGCTGTCCGGAAGGGAAAAGAAAGCGAAAAAGTAGATTCAGGAGCTAAAAATGAGTTAACAGGCAGCCTTCGATTCCTCAGACATTGACAGAAGTGTGTTAAAACAACCCATCTTACACGTCGACAAGACTGGATGTCGGCCATGGTTTCCCCGAGCGAGCCGGAAGGGCTGCACTGCCGCGGTATCAGTGCCTCACGCCGCGTAGCTGATTAGACACAGGGGAGATCTTCAAGTTCATGTGGAATCAGAGGATAGTCCTTGGCCGCTGCTTCCCCTGGGGGTTGGGTGCAGTGCCTGGCGCTTTGTCCAGCCTTAGCGTCCCCCGAGCTTGGCGGCTGCGGGTGACTGTCCTGTTCTGTCAGCAAGACAAGATGCTGGGGGAGGGGGTGCATAGAGGGGTAAGAAAGTGGAAACAAGCTAAAGATCTGTTAGTGTGGCTGTTCTGAGACACGGCAGGACCTTGCTCAGCCTCATGCCCGTTTGTGGATCCCCCAGGCTCACAGACCAGGACGGGTACTTGTGGTGCTGCCTACAGGCTAATGGTGGGAGGGAGTCGAGGGGCCAGGCTGGGCCCGGACAACTAGTGGGCCTCGGGCTGCCCTTCAGTTCCCGCCCACGTATTGAACTTAACTGTCAGATCATCTCTGTCACTTGCTTCTTGCTTAGGAACTTAGGATGTCCTGTCTTGCAGGCCTACGGGCTGACCTGGAGTGACCTCTCGGCCTGTGGGCTTCTGGGTAAACTAAGGCATGAAGGTAGAGGATGGGATAGAGCAGTTTCTCAGGAACGTTCCAGCCCTGAGCCCCCAAGCCGTCTAGCGGGGCTCGTCTGCACCATGTACGATTTCAGAGCCAGACCAATGAGGTTTGAGGCAGAAGAATTTTAACATGAAGCATCTTGAGATCTTGCTGTTAGCGGTTTTCAGCACAAGGATCTCTATTTAATGGAGCTTCTTTGCTTTTAGCTGACGACTTCAGCTCTCAGGATAATCTTGATGACCCGGAAGCTGGCGGGTGGGATGCTACCCTCACCGGGGAAGAAGAGGACGAGTTCTTTGAGCTGCAGATTATAAAGGAGCATGATGGAGAGGTAACAAAGGAGGCTCAGGTCGGGGGCGCCTGTGGCCTACCTCCGTGGGCCTCTGCGGCCTCCAGCACAGTCATCGTTTTGGTGCTTGTATTTCTCAAGAGATGGAAAGAAAAGGCTCCCATTATGAGTCCCAGAAAAATGGGGCTTGGACATGCGAGTATGTCCCCTCCGGTGTAGCTTCCTCTCCTGGGAAATGCCTTTTTGCTCACGGTCAGGTCATGGTGACCACTCCCCAGGGACATGCTGGGGGCACAGGGAGGTGAAGAGGCCCTGTTTGCTGTTGCGTTGCAGTTTCTTTTTAGTGAAGACTTTTTAATAAAGGGAATAAAAGAGTAGATGAGGCCGCTCAGGGCATCCTGACAGCGGTCAGTCTGACCGGCAGGTACCCAGCGGGCCTCACCGAGTTTGAGGTTAAGATGAGTGTCACAGGACACTCGAAGGACATGCGGCGCCGTGGTGTCCTGAGATATGAAATCAGATGGGTTGGGTCCACCTGGCGACCGGGGCCTGCCCCAGTGGCGGGGCCCCTGCGGGTCAGGCAGACATGGGGCTTGGCAGGGGACGCGCTCTGTGATGCGCGTCTGACTGTGAGCCGTGGTCTGTGGTCTCAGGCCTTTGTGAAAGTTCCAGAAACAGCCCTTGACCGTGGTTAAGTCAGAGGACATCCTTCCTCACAGAGGGGGTCGCTGAGGTGTTTGGGGTTGGAGTCCTATGTCTGTGACCGACTCCAGAGTGACTCAGCAAGAATAACAACACTGGTGTGTCTGTGCCATGTGCGGGCGGAGGACGCTGCAATGTCGAGCAGGCACGGGGCCTGAAGGAGGCACCTGCAGACGGCGGTTCTGGCCGAGGGGCACTCTTGCTGGCGCTGCCTCTTCAGCCTGGGTCCAGGGGCTGCCTTGGGGTGCTTGTTCCCAGGAAGGGAGGGACGCATGCTCCTCTGTCTGTGCAGGCGAAGGCAGAAGCCTCCTGGGACTCGGCGGTGCATGGCTGCCCCCAGCTTAGCAAGGGCACCCCCGCGGACGAGCGCGTCTTCCTCATCGTGCGGGTCACCGTGCAGCTCAGCCACCCAGCCAGCATGCAGCTGGTCCTGCGCAAGCGCATCTGTGTCCACGTGCACGGCCGGCAGGTGAGTCCTCGGCGGGAGCTGCAGCCCAACCCCAGGTCTGCCTGAGGGCCCAGGGTGCTGCCGGCGCATGCTGCTCTCTCCAGGGTCACACCAGTGCCTGTGGCCTGCTCGCTTCCGTCCTGGGATGGGGCTTCCTGCCTCCCAGACAGTGCTACACTCTGCGCTGCGCCTTTCTTATTGCCTCTTCCCCAGTGGCTACCCCTCTCAGCGCCACCGGGCCCTGGCAAGGGCACGGTCAGTGCACAGTGGCTGCCGCACACCGGAGCCTGCGGGACGGGGAGGTTTGCAGGATGGGGAGGTTCGCTGCACGTGGGCTGGGTCCGCTCTTCCCACCCCTCCCCTGCCCACACCTTTCTCCCCTTCTAGTCACCTCTGCTGGGTGCTCAGTTACATATTTGGAGAGAGCAGACTTCAAGCTTGGGGTAAAAGATGAAGTAGCAGTAGTCTGCCTACTGCAGGAGTCAAGTCCGTCAGCAGGCGCAGGTGTCAGGCTGGGATAGTGGCTCGTGGGGCGCTCTGCTGGGATAGTGGCTCGTGCAGGTGCCCCCGGTGCAGGGGCTCTGGGTGGCGGGAGGGTGTGTCCAGGGCCAGGGCCAGGGTGGCAGTGAGGCTTCGGAGAAGAGGGTCCACGTGAGCTGCGCCTCAGCAGATGGGTTGGCAGCAGAGTCGGAGCTGGCTGTTCTGTGCCAAGGAGGGGCTTGCGGGGCTAGGAGGGGCAGAGCTGGGCTCCTCCCAGTGCCTGTCCCCTATGAAGGGTTTAGTAGAAATCTTACAGGTGAAATTATAAATGAGTTCTGTTACTGGCTTTGCAAATGCAGGATTTGGGAGGTTAAGGCTGAGGATCCTTTTAACTGTCTCTGCTCACTTTTTTGAGGCCTTTGCAATCACTGATGAAAACCAGGACAGATGAAAAGAAATCTTTTCATTTGGAAGAGCACAGTCATGGTTGACAGAGCTCTAGATGTAATCTCCACCCCTAAAAATTAATCTTCACTTCTAAATGTCACACTGATATCAATCTTGGGAACGAGGATGGGCCGTAATGCTGTTAAAATTGCAGCTCCTTAGCTCGGCAGTCCGACCTCAGTGAGACCAGGCTTGGGTCAGCTGCAGCTCTTGTGTCCAGCTTCCCGTTCGGGCAATCTATGAGGGACAGAAGGCACAGGCTGCTCCTGGGGAGCGCTGAGAGAAGCCACAGTTTCAGAAGTAGAGCTTCTGTTGTCAGGCACTGGCCTGCTCAGGTCCAGCCCCCGGGTCCACGGCTCCCTGCGCAGAGGGCAACATCGCCAGCCACCACGTGTCCTCCATTTCTAAAATATTTATTATTTTTTAATATTACTTGAAAATTGTTATCGTAGGGACAAGAAGTTGCCACGTTTTCCCCCATGGTTGAAATGGTTTGATTGTTTCAAATTGATGCTGAAGGATGACAGTATTTCAGGGCGTGCCAGCCTCCCGCCGCCCCGGTGCCGGGTGTTTCACCCCTAAAGGCTGCTCCTCCCTAGCGAGAATGTAGCGTGTCTCAGGAGCCTACTGCCCGCCAGCAGCACCAGTCATTCCAAACACACGGAATACAAGGCCCCACGCCACCAGGCCCCACACCTCCCCCGCCCCCCGAAAATCCAGCCTGGCTGTGTCGCGACCACTGACATTGGCAGTGACCCAGCATTGCAAGGCCCAAGGCAGCCAGGGGAGGGGTGGAAGGAATGGTCTGTCCGCTTCCCGAGAGGTCAGAATCTTTCAAAAACTACCTGGAGATCAGTGAATAGGAAGGAAATAATCTTGAAGCAGGCTCGTGAAAATGCGCATTTCTACGCCCAAACAGCTTCTCCCTTCCCCTGGGAGGGTGGGCGCACATGCTTCCAACTTGCCTTTTGTCTGGGGACAAAGGTTGAGTGTGAGTGGAATGTTCTGTTTTCTTATCTTCATTCACCGAGTGCTCTCCGCCCTCCTCCCGCTCTTGTCAACCTCCCCAGGATGCTCGGCCTCAGCAGCATCTTCCAATGAGTCATCTGTGCATTAATTCAACAGTTCAATTCTTAACTGTGCAGAGAGCACAGTCAGCATAAACAATGACCATGCACTCTTAAATCATTCTTCATAACGATCCTGCTTTGGTCGAGAATTTAATGCCTGAACTTGTCAATATTCATGGTACAAGATGTCCATCCAGCTGCCGGAAAAAAAAAAAAAGTGTGAGAAGCACCGCCAGCCCTGCTCACAGCTTAGCTAGAAGGTCATTTTACTGTCTTGAAGTCAAAAGTCTTATTCGGTGGCCTTTAAGCGGCGTTGAGCCAGAGGCCTGGTGTCAGACCAGAGGGGGGCCTGTCCTTTTCCCGTATTGGGTCTGGGGCCGGCCCCATTGCAAGTATCAAGTAAATTGGTTCTGTGCCCTAAGAGGAGGTTGGGGAACCTGTGTTGAGTGCTTTGGGGTTTAGCTAGCTGAAAAAGGAAATGTGCTCGGATTGTTTTGGGTGAGAGTGGACCAGGTACCCTTTGTGCTGTGTCTTTGTTAACGTCAGCTCAGTTTGTGAGATGGGAAGTCATATTCTCCTCTTTTGTTTTTCTCTAGGGTTTCGCCCAGAGTCTACTAAAAAAGATGTCTCACCGAAGTTCTATTCCTGGCTGTGGAGTGACTTTTGAAATTGTCTCCAATATTCCAGAGGTGAAGGATCATAGGCAATTTGAATTTACTAAAAATAAACATGTGAAAAGCGCTAACTCCCTGAAAAGTCACCTACCCAAGAATCATGTAGCAAGAGAAAATGTGTATTTAGGAATATGCCATATAGATTTGTAGAGGAATTCCCTAACCTTAACTCGCTGCAGTCAGTGAGGTTCTGGGTTTACTATTTTGTTAAAAAAGAACTTTCTTTTGAAAAGCAAATTAACACCTTTTCACTCATAGAAGACCTAAGATGACAAAACGGTAACCTTTGAAGGGAATTAAGAGAGAGAGGTGGAGGGAGGTTCTGTTTTGGAGTCAGAGAAATCTTGTTTCATTTCTTGGGCACGTGAACTTGGGTCAGTTGCTTTGAGCCAACATGTCCTCATTTATCAGGGGGTGAGTGGTGTCCTCTGGGCAGGCTTGTTTATAAGGGTTACATGAGACCATGTGGGAAAACCGGTGTGCTTTAGCAACAAATTGTAATTGCTATTGCATGATTGCTAGTTGCTATTAGTTGTCATTTTATTGTTAATTTTTCTTCTTCTGAGCTAATTGGGATATTCACGGAATCAAACAGATGGAGCTTAAAAGATGTCTGACAGGAGTGGGGGACGTGGCTTCTAGTGCTTCCTCGAGGTGAATGAATGCCCAGGCTAGACTTACTCACCAGGCGTTGGCACTGTGGTCCTGGAGGCCTCCCGGGAAGGAACAAAAAGGAGGTTCTGAGAAAAGGGAAGAAGAGCAGCTTCTTCTGCCGCATCCAGAGGGCGAGTGGTTAGGGAACGTGGAGTGGGTCCTGGGGTGAGCCCCCCGCCCCCGCCGTGGCCTCCCGTCATGCTCTCCACCGAGGGCTTAGCAGCCTGCTGACCGGCTCAGTGGGGCACCTGGACCATAGGTGGATGTGTCCTCCTTCACACGGACATCAGTCTGGGAAGGAAGCAAGCGCACCCCCCAGGCTCAGGCCTTGTTTTAGAATTTTTGTACCGCAAACACATTTCCCTCTCAGGTAATGCCAGGCGGCTGCTCTTTTCCTGTGCTTTCTGCCCTCAGCGTCCCTTCAACACTTTATAACCTGGGGCTGCTGAGCTTTTCAAAACTGAGGCTGTTGTCAGGTTTGGTCAAGTTGCGAAGACCTGGGTGGGGTCGTGGGTAACTCTGGGTGCCCTGTGTTCAGTCTGACTCTCCCTCTGGATGCCGTGCCTGCTTTCCTGCAGTTTCTGGGCTAAGTCTGTAAGGGGCTTGACTGCTGCTGAGAACAGAGCAGGCCCCGGGGTGCATGTGGTGGTAACAGGCGGTTGTGGGCGAGGCAGTGACTCCCCTGCCCCCACCCCTGGGATGCTGTCTGCCAGGGGAGCAGGAAGCGAGACACCCTCAAACTGGAAACAGCCCGGGTAGCCGTCAAGGGGCGAAGGCGCCTCGGCCCGTTACCGGCTGTGTGAGGAAAGGAGCCGGGTGAGGGGCCTCAGAACCGTGAGACTGAGTGAAAGATGTCACGACAGCAGGATTTCATTCTGTGAAGCCTAAAGCAGGACAGGCTAACCGGTGGTGAGGGAAGTTATCTATCCAGCCTCAGGAAGGACCAGGACTGACTGACAGCCCCCTCCCATCCCACCCCAGGGGTCCGAGGCCTCCGTCAGGCGGGTGTGCGTAACACGGCCACTGTTTATCAAGACTCAATTCTCCCCCTTCATATAAAACCACGATAACGTCTGTCCCCTCAGACACCGAGTTTTCTGTGTTGTGTGGTGAGGACAGGCCACCGGAAGTCAGAGGCCTGTTTCCCTCTCACCTCAGGCTGGCACTGGCCTCCCTCTTTCCTCGCCTACAAAATGAAGATGAGCCTTCCTTTCCAGATTATTAAAAGTCTCTAAGGAGACAAAAAAAAAAAATTGTGAACTTAAGCCAAAGTCCATATTTTAGATAAGACTCATTTAAGTTTTTGTTTGTTTTTTTTTCTTTTTTTTTTTTAATAATGTTGTCTTTTATTTTATTACTATTTTTTAAAGATTTATTTATTTATACACGCACTGGGTACAGTCAGAAGTGCGGGAGGGTGAGAGAATTCACCAGAGTCAGAGCAGGGAACAGAACAGGCAGACTAATGGAAATACACTGCTGAGGGGAGCAGCAGGTGTGGCAGGAGAGGTCTGTCATGCCATGTGGGACCCTCACCAGCGGCCAGGGATCCAACCGGTGCTGCAGAGGCTGCGGGCAGCTTTGCAGCCCAGCGCTCAACACTGCGCCACCAGGGGAGACCCATTGTTTTTTTTTAAGATTTATTTACAAGAGTTGGGGTGTAAGCCAGAGGTGCGGGGGGAGGGCGAGGATTCACCAGAGACAGAGTGGGGAGCAGAACAGGTGGATCTACTGAAATACACTGCTGAGGGCAACAGCGGGGAGACAGGAGAGGTCTGCTGCGCCACGTGGCTTAGCAACCTGGCTGGGGATGGAACTAGTGCCGCGGTGCCTGCGGATAGCTTCATTGTGCTTAGACTTAACCCCCTGCGCCACCAGGGAGGCCCTCATTTAAGTTCTAAAATTTCTTTGAAGTTAGAATGTCTTATAATCAATATCACAGAACTATTCAGTGGGTTTTTTCCTCCATAGTGGTATATAAAACATTGTGTTTTCTTATAGTTGACAGCATCTTACAAGGCTGTGGCTCACCGATGTATGTTCTATAGCTTTTGACATCATTATAACAAATTCATGAGTAAATAAAGTAGGTTTTCCCTGAGAATAACCTGCCATGAACCAAGTTTGCTTGGGATAATTAAATCAACCCTCAGAGTCCCTCCCTGCCCTGTGAAAGTCCTGTCTGTGTGCAGAGGGCCAGGGCCAGGGCTGGGCTCTGCCTGTGAGCAAGGCCAGTTTGCTTTGTTGCCTCCTTTGGTGCTGGTGCCAGCCACTGGCCTCTGCTGCCCCAGAGTTCAGGATCCAAACCATGTAGAAGCTGCACGTTTTGGATACGTCCTAAGGCTGCTAAGCGAGGAGGGTGCAACCCAAGCCTCCTTCTTGATGGCATCCTCGGCCCCTTGCCTGTCTCCTCTCTGGCCTGCCTCACCCCACTTCTTCATCCTCTGGTTCCCCAGGTTAGGGTCCGTATTTCCGGCTAGTCCACCAGGTTCTTTCCAGCCAGCAGTGTTGTTTGTGGTGGGAACCCGATAGAGACTGGCCTGCTTGGACACGGCTGGCCCCACTGCGCTGGCCTGGCCCCACCCACTCGCCCAACTGCCATTACAGTGTGTTTCTGAGGGAAAATGCATTCGGAGCTCCAGATGCTGACTTTAAAATGGAAATTTGGAATACATCCCATTTGTTAGTTGAGAAATCTCTGTATGTGTCTGTATAGATCAAGAAGCTTTTAGCATGTTTTCTACAGCAACGCACTTGATGTTAATATATAACTTTCCATTCTCCAGGATGCCCAGGGAGTAGAGGAACGGGAAACATTAGCAAGAATGGCAGCTAACGTTGGGAGCACAGCTTCTGCTGACTCAGAGGCTTATATTGAGAAATACCTCCGGAGCGTGCTGGCCGTGGAAAACCTCCTCACTCTGGACCGGCTCCGCCAGGTGGGCCAGCCACGGGCCTCACCTGCGCCCCACTCACTGCCCTTGATGGTGTCGTTGTGTTGAGACTTTTCAAGACTGTCCAGCAGAGCGTGATCCTGTAGTTTAAGCTTGCCTGGGCTGTCTTTAATGCTGTTTTTGAAAAGTTACTTTTTCCCAAGACACAAGGTGGAATCTAGTTGCTTTGATGCCAAGGGATAGAAAATATTTAACTCCTCATGGCCAGTACTGTTGGTGGGAAACACCTCATGACGAGGTGGGACAGGCCCTGCCTTGCTCACTGGATTTGAGGGCTCTGACCTTAGGGTGTGGTCACAGAGGTGCCAGTGAACCCGACCCTTAGAAACCCTAAGCCTCAGCTCACCTAGCAACACGTGCACTTTCCTTTTAGCTTTATTTATTTATTTACCAAAAATGCTAATAAAAGATAAAAGCGCATGTGTGAATGTTCACTGCCTTCCCCCTGGGACTCACTTCGGGCTAGCTTCACTGGGACGCGGCAGGTGATGCGTGGTCCAGGTGCCCTGTCCCTGGGTGTCCCCGTTCGCGGGCGCTGGGCTCCTGTGTCCTGTGAGGCAACAGCCGTTCTTTAGGGAGGAGGACTGTGTGGGGGGTGGTATCAGGCCCGCGTCAGAAGGGACTCTGGGCCAGCGTTTAATCCGTGTGCTTTCTTGCTGACAGGAAGTCGCAGTGAAGGAGCAGCTGACAGGAAAGGGGAAGCTGAGCCGGAGGAGCATCAGCTCTCCCAACGTGAACCGGGTGAGCCATTCAGGCCTGTCTCTGCTGGGCCACCTCTCTCGCCTGCTGTCTCCCCTGTCTCGGCAACGCATCCGTCCTCCACATCGCATGTCAGACCCCATTTCCTCCTCTGAGCTGACACCCCTCCCCACCCTCACCTTCGCCCTTCGGTGCAGGCCTGTCAACCGCCAGGCTGACACCGGGGGCCTGGCCATGTCAGGACCCTGCAGGTGGCTCCTTTCACTTTCCACCGCTGGCACAAAGGGGCTCGGTGAATGAGTGTTGAACTCAAGCAAAACTAGCCAAGTGCCTAGGGCATGCAGTCGAAATTTACTGGGCTTAACTTAATTACTTTTAAATTGAGGAGAAGTCTGGACAAGGTTTATAAACTCAGTTGCTCACAGGCTATATAAATGAGTTAAACAAGTTAAGTTTGTTCCGTAACACTGCCCTATTGTTTTTGTTTTTAGTAATAGAATTTATTTGCATGTTAAACACGCAAATGACTCTTCACAGGGAGCCAGACAGTGTCCTGTGGCTTAGCCTCCCTGCTTATGATAAGGATGCAGATCTGAGCGCTGTCGCACCTTTGTGTCATTTTACCCCAGTAAGAGCCACTGTGGTCTTGAGCGGCTGCCCCACGGCTTAGTGTTTGAGGGACAGTGGTGAGATAGGGCGTCTGCCAAGCTGGAGGGCACGTGTGGCCTCAGGGACCCAGTCACATCCCTCATGGCCTCAGGCTGAGAGGTTGGGACCATTGAGTTGGACTCAGACAGTAAGAAATGTCCCTTTAATTCAGGTAAATACTTTCTTGTTCCTTCAGAACGTGATGTATTAAAAACACATGACGCACATAGAGGTTCGCCATGTGGGATGCCTGGGCTGAAGGTACTTTGTAAGTGAGAAGCCAGAGAGGAGGCCTGGTCTGGGCACGCAGACTCACCAGCCGCCTGCTCAGGACAGGCGGCCACCAGCAGGCCAAGCCGCGCCCAGTGCCGGCCAGTTGTTGCCCTGGTGTGAACTCCACGCCCAGGCTTATCTATCTCTCCTGCTTCAAGTTGCTGGTAACTAATCCAGTGAAAAAGTCGTGCCTTGACAGTGTTCCCGAGGCCACAGTCCGGTTCCCCATCTTGGGCTCCCCAGCCTCTCTGCCCGCCCCTCTTCTGGTGGGTGCAGTTTCGCGCCTTGCTTACGGGCTGGGGTTGTCCTGCTTCCGCCCTAGGCTGACCCCTCTTTGCTGTCTCCACAGCTGTCCAGCAGCCGCCAGGATCTCATCCCCTCCAGCAGCCTGGGCAGCAACAAGGTCAGTGTGTCTAAGCGTATCCTTTCCACGCAGGCCCCCACCCCACACCGCCCGCTCCCCCTTGCACGCCCAGGCGCCCCGACTCTTCCAGGCCATGTGAGGTTGGCTGGGAAGTGCTTGAGAGCCCATGGCAGTTAGAAGAAGGTGGACTACACCCACTTACTGCTCTCCCTTTTAGGGGCTAAGAAACAATTTTGCTGCCTAGGTTGATCATTTCTGTTTAAGAACCCCCTCCTGCTGGACTGTGGGTGCTCTGGGGTGGGTGCACGGCGGTGGTGGGACCTGATGGGGGGCGCCAAATGTTACCTCCATTAAAAAACTGAGAAATGTGTTTCCTGTTCCTATCAGAAAAAGAAACTTCAAATCACATTTTTAATACTAAGATATTGATGTGATGATTGAAAGTTTACGAGAAATAAGAACGTTATACGTAAAAGTAAATATTACTTGTCAGGGGAAAGAAAATAAGGAACGGTGATTTTGTGAGCTGGGATTAATTTATTTCCTTGGTTTTATAGCTTTTCCTGCTCAACGGGGTTTAGCGCGTGGGTTTTTCATCACTGTTTGAGGGGCCAGGCGCCCCGAGGGTGGACGCTGGCCGGCCGTGGCATCTGTGAAAGCCGCGTGGGGTGCCGCGTGCTCCCCGTTACCGTTAATTATTCTGCAGTTTCTGTGTGTTTGAAATTTTCTTTATAAAAACCTACGGAAAAGAGCCGCGAGCTGCCGAGCCAGGCTCCCCGCCGAGGCCCAGGTCACCCGGCGCGGGCGGCCTCGCTGCATGGTCGCTGCCGGGTGCCCGGGCCGCCACCCTCCCGCCGCCGGGGCGTGGGGGCTCTGGGCGAGGCGGGTCGTCCCGCGGGAGCCTCTGAGCCCGCCGGGCCGTCGGTTTCAACCTTAAACACAGCGTTTTCCGCAGAACGTTCTGGCTGGACGCCGGGGACCCGTCTCTGCCCCGGGCCCCGGGGCCGCGACCGCCCCGTGGGGGCGCCTCCCCTCGCCTCCCGCCGCCCTGAGGAGCCCGCGGGGTGGGGTGGGCACCCCAGAGCGGCTCGGGCGGGAGAGGGGGGAGGGGGGAGGGGGAGGGGGGAGGGGGGCGGGGGGCGGGCCGGGAGGGGCCCGTTCGCGGCGGGGTGGGGGGCAGGGGGGGCGCGGCCTCGGGAGACGCCGACCGGCCGGCTCGCGGGGGTTGGGGGGCGGCCGTGGACAGCTTGGCCTCGGGGCGCCTGAGGAGCAGCAGGGCTGGTGCGGAGCCGTGCGGGGAGAAGCGGGCCTGGGGGGGCCCCGCGGGGCGAGGTCGGAAGGGGCTCCCCGCTGAGCCTCTGGGTGTTGCGGGTTCCGGCTCCTGTGAGCAGATGCCCTGCCTGAGGAGGCAGCCGAGTGTGGGCGGGGGAGCCCGTTCCCCCGCGCGAGCGCCCAGGCCTGCTCTCCCGCCTGCGGGACGCGCCGCGTTTGCTCTGGCGTGTGACAGACGTCCCTGAAAGACGTGTCCGTGGTTTCCTTTCCTTTCGGGCCGCCCGCCTCCGTCCGTCCTCAGAGATGCGGGGAGAGCTGACTCCCCGTCGGGCGCTCCTGCTGGGGGCGCAGCCCGCCCGCCACCAGGACCCCTGCCGCCGCCCCCCAAGGCAGCTTCTGCGCTGGCGGGCCGCGCGCCTGCTGCACCCGGCTTTTGTGGACGTGACTTTGCCGTCAGCGTCAGCATACGGTTCCCTTCCAGAGCGCCTCACTGCCTGGGTCTGACACCACAAAGTGTTGACCTGTCGAAGGGACCGTCTTCTAGGGCCTCCCCTGGTGGCGCCGGTGGTTGAGCGCCTCTGCAGCGCGGGTTTGATCCCAGCCAACCCGCGAGGGTCCCTCATGGCGCGCAGACCTCTCCTGTCGCGCCCGCTGCTCCCCTCAGCGGTGGATTTTCAATCAGTCTGCCTGTTCTGCTCCCGGCTCTGTCTCTGGTGAATCCTCTCACCCTCCTGTGCATCTGGTCTGTACCCCAGCTCTTGTATGGATAAATAAATAAATCTTTCAAAAAAAAAAAAAGGGACCATTTTCTAAATTCAGAAGGTTCTGGAATGTGAGGAGTTGTAACCAGTGGTTATGAAGTATGAATCCATAAATTGTGTGTAAATACATTACATACGTCCATACAGGAGCACCTTTCCTCAAAGCCGGGAGGGTGAGGGCCCTGGGCGCTGGCTTCTGGGCCCCACAGGCCTTTGCCAACACGACTATCTTGGGGTCACATGCAAGACAGTCCAGTGTGGAGTCCAGTTTTGAACTTGGTGATGCTGACAATGTTCAGAGATGTGTTCTGAGGTAACAGAAGATGGCGATCACATTAGTTACTTTGCAGGCTTGTGTGGGCTGTGTCCGGCTTCTCCCTTCGCATCACTGTGTGTGCTGCTCCGTTCTTGACCGCCAGGTCCGAACTACACATGCTGGAATCTTTCCTGGGTGGTGCGTGGTGCGAACCCGTCTTTAGTTCTGGCCAACACTGAATATTCAGGTAGTTGAATGATGCTTAGAAGCAGGGAGCCCCTCTGGGACTGGTTCAGCACCGCCTTTCCCCCCTAGGTTTCCCAGGAGAAAGTTGGTTGGGGACAAAGTGAGTGAAGGTCGTGGCAGGGGGGCCGGGCCGGGCGTCCAGTGGGACAGGCGTTCCAAGGAGGTGAGAGGACGCTCAGAGATTCTGAACCATCTCGCAGTTGACCTGAGGCTCAGGAAAGGTGGCCACCCCCCCCCCACCCCGGAGGATCTTATCTTTGCTGCATGTAATCTAAAGATAAACTGAATTTGATTTACTACTCCCAACTTTTAAATTTACCTTTGGGCCTTAAGGAAACTGCTCTTGAGATTAGCTTTTCCATCAGAAATAAAACATCCCTGTTGCAGTGATGCAGCTTTTTCCTGGGGGACGCTTGTCACAGTAAGGCTGCTTTTAATGGCTCTGGTGAAACAGCCCTCCGGCCGGGTGCCAGCAGGTAGCCGGTCTTCCCAGCTGGCTAGATTGTGAGACCTCACAGCACAGGCAGGACTGTCATCTTAAGTGCTGGAATCGCTAGTGTCCTTTCAGGCAAAGTGGTGCTTTTCATACGTCAGTAAGACAGCGTGCCTGTCTTCCCACAGGAGTTTTTATGCAATCAAAAGCAGCCAAAGCCCTAACAGATATTCAGTCAACAAACCCGCATGCTGGTTTGACTCCATTGTCTCCTTGAAAACTGCGGTGATTTAGTGTGGCCAAGTATGAGTCACTCCTTCAGCCGCATTAGAAGCCGCCCTGGGACCTGGTGTGTCACTTGCACTTCTCTTTATTTGCCTCCTTGTCACTTCCCTGAGAAAAAACAGACCTCTTTACGGGAAACTTGAATGTCGCGTGCGAGGAGCGGCCACGGCCACGGGAAGCCAGCAGGTGCGGCCAGACCCTTCCGCTGCTCAACACCCACCTTCCCACCCAGCAGAAGGCTGGTTTGGGAACAGCCTGACTCTCCTCCTGTGCCTGTCCCATGGGGGCTGATTCTGAAGTTTGAGAGACACTAAGACCCACATGGTGGGGTGGAGACCACCGTGGCCAGAACTAAAGACGGGTTCGCACCACGCTCTGCCGTGTTGCAGCTGGGCTCAAAAGAGAAGTAAAGGCCCAGGGGTCCCGAGTCCGTTATGTTCATGGGCCCAAAGTCGTCTCCTCCTGCAGCCCATTTACCTGGCGCTTCCTTCCTTCCTTCCCCCATTTCAGGGAAGGGGTGGCTCTGCAGCCCCAGGCTAAGGACATTTGCTGAACAGGAGACACTTATGGCCTTCCCTTGCCTGGGGGGTGGTGGGGGGAGGTGGCAGCTGCACCCGGAACCCAGGCTTCATGTCTGATGAGAGTGGACATGCGCCGCAGGATGGAAGGAGTCCAGGGGGTGAGTCCAGGGGAATCCTTCCAGATCTGGGGGCGTCAGCCAGAGGGAATTTGCTTGGTGAGTCCTCAGGACTGGAAACTCAGAGACGCCCACGACTTGTGATGACTCGTGGGCTTAACTGGAACTTGTCTTTAGTGCTTGTTGGTCATGGACTATTCTAGAATTTTTGCTCTCGGGGCTCGTGTGTGGGTGGGTGTTCCTGGAGCCTTGGTGTTGTCCTGGGCCCAGGTAAGCATCCTTTCTACTCTGTGAGGACCATTTTTGTTTTCTGTGAACACTTTCGCCACAGTTTAATTCATTTTCTTAATCTCACAGCACCAACTTTAGGCCTTGCCTTACTATTTATGCTGTTTCATTACTTGTCCTTATTTCTCTCTGCATTCCGTACACGTTGGTTTATATTGCTTTCACCGTCACGTGGAGAACATTTGCTGCTCTGATTTCTTGTTTGACTTGTGAGTCATAAGGTACCAGGAAAAAGGGGCAGAACAGCAGAACTTAAGACATTCCTGAGAAATGGCTAAGAGAGCTGTGTGGTGTGGAAGCAGCAGGGGCACGGGAGGTAGGATGGAACTTGGAGGCTGTACGTGGTAACTGGAGGGTGTTCCGGCGAGGCGGCAGTGGCCTCAGGGAAACTGATACCATGAAGGCATTTCAGTCATCACAAGTGACATGTTATGTGCAGGAACAGAGCATTTTCAACATGTGGCCTTTTCCCATAAATATCTAAACTTTTTGGTAATTAATTTGAAATAAAAATGGTGGGGCTTGTCCTGTTGTTAATAGGGCCGGTGGGAAAGTCAACAGGACGTGTCGCAAATAGCCGCTGCCAGAGGAGCCGCGCCGGCTGACCCGTCCCCTCCCAGGCCCCCAAATGGCCAGTCCCTCGATCCAGGTAAGTCCTGCCCTAACTGTCGGTCACTGTCCAGGAATTTGAGCCTCTTTCTGGAAGAGCTTAAATGGGGTCTTCTGCCAAGCTACGGCGCTGGGTGGCTGGGCTGTCTTCCTGCTGCCGGGCCACGCTGACCGGGAATGTTGACTTGTCCCGCACCCCTGGGCTACGTCTGCGGCCCGACTCCATGCCTAGTGTTGGCTAAAGGGGTTTGTGCTTATGTCCAATGACAAAGGTCCTTCTTCCCGAGAAAGCCTTGACAGGCCGGTGTCGATCCCATAAAACACCTCAGGAGACGTTTTCTGCTCACCTTAAACGTTTTGCAGAATTTCCTGGTGACACTATCTGGGTCTAGAATTTTCTCTGTGGGAAACTTTTAAATTATGACTTCAATTTCTTCTATGTAGAGTTGGGGTTTTTTTTTGTTTGTTTGTTTTTTTGTTTTTGTTTTTTGGTTTTTTTGGGTCAGTTTCCATGAGCCAGGCTCTCAGGGAACTTTCTATCACAGTTCAGGTGCCTTTCCTACATGTTCCAGTGCTCCCTTTTTGCAGTATTTGTGGGGTCCGTTGTGATGTTCCCTTTTACTCTGACACAGATCTTTTTTTCCCCTTTCTGATTTCCTTGAATACTCTTGCCACAATTTTATCAGTTTTCTTAATCTCACAAAACCAACTTTTGGCTTTTAAAAAATTGTTTTGTTTCACTGCTTTTTCTTTTCTCTCTTTGCCTCTGAACCTTGCTGGCAGACATCGACCACACAAGCATCTCCTTGAACCCTGTGAAATCCTTGATGCCACAGATACAGATGCCAAAGCTCCTCAAGTCTCTCTTGCCCCTCCGTGACGAGAAGAAGGGCAAACAGCCATCGCCCTTTGCACATCAGGTACCAAGCAGCCGTGAGCCTTTTCCTAATAGATCGCTGGTGAGACTATGCTCCGAGTTAGCTGAGGCAGAATGCGAGGGCCAGCGCAAGGGGGAGGTGGGGGCTTCAGAACCGGGCTTTTAGGCCCAGTAAAAGCTTGCGATAATTTCTTCTCCACTCTCATCAGAGATAACAGAGCTGCTTAAACTTACTGACACTCTCCTCCTTGCTTTTAAAAAATGCCAAGTACACGACTAATGTGATTCATGGTAATATCACTTAGAGCAACAATAGTAAAATTTATGAAGGGCACTTAGTGGTGTTTGTGTATTGCCAAACAGCAAATGTAATTCTATTTTTAATTCTTGATTTCATTTCTTGCTTCAAACAGTTTGATATCATCACCGTCCTTCCCTCTCAACCCCTTATTTCCTCTGCCGTGGTTTACTTGTTCTTTCACTTAGACTATTAAGAGTGATTGCTGGTCTTATTTCCCTTTTTTCTTAAAACCTTGTAACCAGCCTTAGAATAAGTTTTTGAGAAACATTAAAAGCTTTCCCAGACAATCAGGAAAATGTTCTTATGTGAGGGAGAAGGGTGAAGGGAGCTTCCTGGAGGTGTGAATTCAGCAGAAAATGATAAATGAGGATTTATTTATACTCATTCAAAAACACAAAAGAGAGTGCAAGTTCAGTTGTTGAAATAGCTCTTTGGCCATCAGCCTCTCCCATTTGCTTAGCATTCCAGTGGCAGCAATGCAGATGAGTCCTGTCTGAGACCGTAACTATTTAGAAGAGTTTTTGGAGGTTGTGAATGTGTATTCAAGGCTGATGTTACTCGTTTTCTAAGGCAGCTGTGCAGACATAGAGTTTTTCCTCTTAGCATTGTGCATCCACATGAGCATACACGTACACAGAGTTTATAAAAAGTAAACTTTGAGATTTTGGAAATGTGTAAACCACACTTAGCTAGATACATAACAGTTGCTTGATAATTATGAACATGAATCTGTGACCATGTGAGCTAAAAAAATAGCCAGTTTAATACTTAGCCGGGGTTGGAGTCAGCGAAAATGGTTTTTCCAAGGGTATGTTACTACCTGCCTCATTCTCTTCTAAACACCAGTGCTGCTGTGCAAAGTGTGATTCGTGGATTGTCTGTGTTAGAATTTTCATGTAGCTTTTAATTAAAATAGGTGTCAAAGGAAGCGTGGCCTGACCTCATCACCCGTACGTGGGGGCATCTCTGGTGAATCCTTCTCACACTGAAGTTGGATGACCAAGGTTTTTTGGCTGCTTATTCAATAGAGACAGTTATCTAAGTTGAGGGAAATTGGAACAGCATTAAAGTCAATGAATCGTCCCCAAAACAGTTTTTTGAAACTACTTTGAGTTTTTGACGTCGAGTCGCCTGGCGCAGTAAGGAACCCCTCCCTGCAGTGCCAGTGAGCGGTGGCTCTTCCGGCTCGCGAGGGCACCGCGTGTCAGCGCAGCCCTGCTGGGGAGGGCCCCTGGAGACGTCCCGGTGGAGAGCCATGGCTTCGAAGTATTTTGAAGGCAGCTTAAGCAATATTTGTTCATTCAGTTAACTTTTTTTTTGAACAGAGGTTGGGAAAGTGGTCCCAGACAATTCATGTATCATAAGTAAGTGAAAATATAAATATGAAATCGGCTTTAATGAACATTGCCCAGTGGTGGAGCTAAAACACTCCGGTAGGTTTGCAAACCCCCGACTCCACTCAGGGGGACTCCACTCCCCTTTCTCAAGGGCAGCAGGAGCCACTGTAGCCCACGCAGCCTCTGCCTTCGGCCTGGCTTCCCCACCACCGCTCAGTCCTTCTCACTTGTCTTTTCTGGGACAATTTGTTTCCTCTTTCTTTTGAACCCTAACGCTGGGTAGTGTCGCTCGGCTTCCTGGCAGTGCTTACACTGCTCTCCCCAAACCAGACATTGCCCCTAAGCCTGGCCTTGGAGCTCTAACTGCCTGTTCTCCTTTTTCATTCCTGCATCAGTTAGGCACTCACATGTCACACACCCCAGACATTACTGTTCGTTTCTGCTCATGGTCTGTTTATTCCCAACCACTTACCACCTACAGAAATGCACGCCCATCGGGGCCTCCCTGGTGGTGCAAGGGGTTAAGTGTCAGCACTATGAAGCAATCTGCAGCTACTGCAGCACGAGTTTGATCCCCAGCCAGGGAGCTACCCATAGGACTCCGCAGACCTCTTCTGTCTCCCCGCTGCTCCTCTGAGCAGTGTGTTTCAGTCAGTCTGCCTGTTCTGCTCCCCACTCTCTCTGGTGACTCTCTCATCTGCACGCCCGCCTGTCTGCTGAAACAGCCCTTCAGTAACGTGGGGGATGGCTTCTTAACCCAGTGGCTTCTAGCAGTCTTCACACCTCACCTGTAGGCCTTCAACATTCCTGCTTGTTAGAACAATAAGCTCACCCTGTTCCCTGGAAAACCAGACTTGCTACCTCAAAGTGGAGGTTCCTTTTTTGATGGTCTACCCTGACCCTTCCTTGCGGACCCTCCAGATCCTCCAGCATAAAGGTCGACTGTCCCAACCACTCTGCTCCAGCTTTCTCTGCTGTTACCACAAGTTACGGGGAGGGAGGAGCCTCAGAAAGACCCTGTCATGCTCAGCTAGAGCCCAGGCTCCACGCCCATGGCCACGGCAGGGCAGTCCTTCCCAGCTGGCCCAGATCCTCCTCTCCAGGGAGATCGTGATGCCTCTGTTAGGTTCGTTATGGCGATGAGTGACATTTGTCCAAGGCCTTCCCTCGTTGGACGACTTAGAAAACCAAAAAGAGCTCATGTTGAGGAATGTTCTAAGCCATGCTGTTGGCTGCTGGCCTGGCAGCGGCATTGCCCTCCTCCCAGGAGTGCAGAGAAGCCCTCCCTATGTGTTGGTCCTGTTTTGTTTGCTGCTCACGCCTGTGAGTGCTTTCATATCCATATAACTAATTGTTAAATAATAAGCAGTATCGGACCAAGAAATGGTAGTTGTCAGGACATCAAAGCAGAGCCCAGAACAATAGAAATCTGCGCAGAACCCAAGAGGAAGCTGGGCAGATTCCGCAGTGCAGGGAGGATGTGTTGCATTAACATTCCAAAAGGGCAGAGTCAAGGTAGATGGTAGCCCTGCTCCAGATGTGCACACATCCCCGGTGTGGACATCCAGAGACATGCAGGGTCACAAGCAGCCAAGCCTGGTAGCACCTCTTATTTCTACCCCACCCCAACTTTCTCCCTTCATTTTTTTTGAAGATTTATTTATTTATGCATATAAGAACTGGGGTACAGGCCAGAGGCTTGGGGGGGAGGGGGTGAGAAGATTCACCAGAGACAGAGTGGGGAACAGAACTGGCAGACTGACTGGAATACACTGCTGAGGGGAGCAGAGGGCGAGACAGGAGAGGTCTGTTGTGCTATGTGGGTTGCTCCCTGGCCGGCCGGGGATCTAACTTGTGCTGCAGAGGCTGCGGATTGCTTATAGGTTGCGTTTTAACCCCTTGTGCCACCAGGGAGGCCCTTCCTTCATTTTTAAAGCCATTTCTCATGTGCCTATCATGAAAGATACTGGAACTTTCTCCTTTTTGCTTTTGTCCTGTTCAGTTTGGAGACTTAAACTACTTGTCAGAAATAATCACAATCATAAAGCACCTTGCACTAACCCCCTGCACTCTGCCCCTCCCGTGAATCTCCCCAGCCCCCTGCACTGCCCCCCCACCCCCCATCTTTGACTACTGGAGTGGACCTCAATTATTGCACATGCTTCTGGATATACTACTACGAGAATCCATTGACCACTTGTAATTATTTAGGGAATACAGTTAGAAATGATTTATGAGGATGGATTAAGGGAGCTATTTATAGTTTGAGCAAACAGTGGTCAAGGCAGGGCAGGCATCCCCAGGGCAGCGGCACCCTGAGGTGGGTGTCAGGTGTCAGGACAGTCCCGCTGAAATCACAGGGCGACAGAAAGGAAACCAACAGAGAGAGTGCAGCACTGGGTAGGGACAAGGGTTCGTTGGAAAGCAGGGCTCTAGAACACCTGGGGGTTCTGCCATCTCTCTTTTTTAAAGACAGGAAGATTTTGAGGATATAAAAATGATCCAGATAAGAACAAGGAAGAGAAAGGTCTGGTGTCTACCAGTCATTGCCCATATTTTCTTTGTTAGATTAGATGGAAGGGAGGCAGAATTTGTGTAATGAGGGAACAATTATTATAAAAAAAACTTTTTTTTTTTTTTTTTAGACATTACTGACAAGTTTTATTTTTTTTTTTATTTATATATATATATTTTTTTTATAAATTTTATTGTTATATTCCCCATACAATTGCAGCCCCCCCATTCTGACCCCAATCCCTCCCCTCCCGCCCCCGCCCCCCTAAAAGTGTCTCTGGTTCATAGTTTTTTGTTGATTTTGATTTTCACTTTCTTATAGTTATTCATTTTCCTGGTCCCTTATTTAAGTTTTCTAGATTCCTGCTATGAGTGAGACCATCCGGTATTTTTCTTTTTCTTTTTGGCTTATTTCGCTGAGCATGATCCCTTCCAGCGCCATCCATGTTGCTGCAAATTGCATGTGTTTATCTTTTTTGAATGCTGAGTAATATTCCATGGTATATATGTACCACATCTTCTTGATCCAGTCATCTATTTTTGGGCATTTGGGTTGTTTCCAAAGCTTAGCTATTGTAAACAGTGCTGCTATAAACATAGGGGTGCAGGTGTTCTTTGGAATTGATGTTTCTGTGTCCTTTGGGTAAATACCTAGGAGTGGAATTGCTGGATCCTATGGAAGCTCTATGTTTAGTAGGTCCAGAAATCTCCACACAGCTCTCCACAGTGGTTGGACCAGTTTGCACTCCCACCAACAGTGCAGAAGAGTTCCTTTTTCTCCACACCCTCGCCAGCATTTGTTGTTGCCAGTTTTTTTAATATGTGCCATTCTCACTGGTGTAAGATGGTATCTCATGGTAGTTTTGATTTGCATTTCCCTGATGGCAAGTG